ACTCGACCGCGACAGGATGCAAATGCTAACTTTTTGTTTTACGACCACGATGCAACGCAATCAGAGTGCGCACACCGCCTGCTTCCTATTGATTAGCGACTTCCTACTGATTAGCGACTTCCTATTGATTAGCGACTTCCTATTGATTAGTGACTTCCTATTGATTAGCGACTTCCTATTGATAGGCGAACTATTGATGAGCTATTGATTTGTGACTTCTATATCATTTAGCTAGCGGTGGCCACAAATTAGCTGGTCTACCGTCCGAGATAGGAAAAGGGGTGCTTTAATAACTGTAAATAACCCACTTACGATGAAATATTGAAAAGCGTGATAAGGAAACCAATCTGGCGTTTAGAAAACCATAATCTTTAATGCTATATAGATTACAGGATTTAAAGGCTAAAGAAAAATGGAAAATGGGAACGTCGCTGCCCAGCACATTCAAAACTGTGATATAGCTCGTACAAAGCAAATCGGCATTTTCAGAACAAAAGATTGGTGAGGAAAGATCTCGAAAATTGAGGCAGCCTGGTTAAGATAGCACTCCTTAATTTGGTTGACAGTTAAGCTGTCATAAAACTTCTAATGATTTTTTGCCTCAAATGTTGGCTTATTCGTTGCACTGATTTTGAACAACCAATAGGGTTAGAAAACCACACAGACAGAAATTGTTTTCAAACTTAGCAGCAACGCAAATAAGTTACTTCCATTTCGACTTAGCCTTTTCTATGCTCTGCTACCTTTCCCTCTTTTCAACTTTTTTAGTTCTCGTTGAACAAGAGATGACATCAAATTGTTAAAAGAAAAAAATTTGTATCGAGCAAGAATTTTCATTACAGGTGTTTTTTGACTTATTTAAACGTTGAAAATGAATGGAAATAATATATTCCCATGAGCCATTCAGTAAAAATTATGATATGCCAGTTGATCATTTCTTATTCCTTTTGGCGGTCTTATCTTACAGGTCTAATTTAGCACGCTCGACACGCTCTAACCCTAACCCTAAGCATGCACATTTAAACTAAGCATTTTTTTAGCAGAGGCGCGCCATCAGTTCCTTCGCACCTATTTTCTGCCATAATAGAATATGCTGAAGCAGAAAAGAGGGCAAGGCCAATGAGGACTAAATAAAAGCAACATAGTTTACCGTTTAGCCGGAAACATCTTCAAAACTTCAGACATTTCTTTACATAAGTTGTCGTTGTTCTTTCTCCTTTTTCCCCCAAAAACCACCGTGACAGTTTCTTTCATTCTACATTCACAACATGCACCAGCCACTCGAACATCTCAATTTCACATGTGTGAAGACAAATTCAAAATGATGCCTATGAGATCTTAACATTAAAGCTATCAACAGAGACCTAGGTTTCTAACAGCCCGAGTACACATCAACCTTAACACACGACCGTTGAAAACCAACGGGGTAACCCTGCCTCCTTTTTTAATCATTAAAAAAGGAGGCAGGGTTACCGCTTCGGAAGCACCGCCGGGGACCACACCGTAACTTGGCACCCGTGGTGTTAAGACAATTTCTTCGCGCCAAGTTACGGTGTGGTCGCGGTGTACGCGGTGTTGATGTGTACGCGGGCTGTTTGAAACGTGTGAACTGGACATTTTTTGAAGCAAACTGCGGCTTAGCGTCAGTTGTACAGGGAAGATTGAATTTCTAGTGAATTGAAATGAAACTACAGTTTATGTGCTTGGATTCTGCGTTGGATTTGTGGCCGGCCGGTCATTTTGCGCCGGGATTTTTTCGCTTCTCGGATCGGTCGTTCGGAAATGGAGTGTTCAGCCTTGGGCTTTTCTTATGTACGTAGAAAACTTCGAAATGGACAACTCGCTAAAATGGGTTCTTTTCATCAAAGTAGGTGGTCAGATAACAAGTGATACGCTGTGGAAGTAAGGTGAGGTATTTCTATTGAGAATTTGACGTATTTTTTTATTCCTTAGAGCGGTCGTAAATATTCCTATACAAACTCTTATAATTCCGCCATGACTATTGTTGCGCAAGATGATCATCTCACAGCTGGAGCTTGGGCTACCTGTGGTCAAATCATTTAGGATATGTATCTCGCACTTATCAGATCGTCGCATTAGGGCATGTATTTCGCACCGATCAGAGCGTCGTTTTTGTTCTTTGGTTTGAGAGGTGTTCAAATTTTAACAAATTAACACGGGATTCGGAGAGAGTGGTAAGTAAAATGGAATCATCAATTAGAATGAAAACTTTTGGCTTTTCTGTGTTTTTAACGTGTACTTTATCGCGCTTTATGAGAAATGCGATACTACTGGACAGATGAAAGACACCAGATTATCTATAGCAAACGTGTTACTCATGCTGTGATAATGGTGGGTTGTTGTTGTTCGAGGAAAATGGAGTTCTGTGCACTGTAGCACTGTGTCGATATTTTGCGGACCTATTTTATTGTTGCTAGGTAACACAAGAACATGCGTACAGTGAAGATAACCATGTGCTTAGCTTAATAGCTGACTTTGTACATCTCAACTTGTTGTTGTTTCAAAATAAACTTAGTTGAAATTTTAAGACATGGTGGCAGTGGTTAAACAAGGAAAATTCTGAAATTAAGCCCTCCGGAGATATTTCGACTCGCGACGAAACTTCACAAAGAGGAAGGCGCTGTGCAAGTCATTGCTCTCATTTATACAATGGGAAGAGAAGCCGAACACGTTTTAAAGTCCTTTACCTTAGCGGAGGAAGATGATTCCAAAATCGGCGTGATCTTGGCGAAGGTTGATGAGCATTTCGTTCTAAAACGGAACATTATTCACGAGCGAGCACGTTTTCACAAAGGAATCAAAACCAAGGAGAGATGGTCGAATCGTTCGTACGAGGCCTCTATGAATTAGCCGAACACTGTGATTTTGGGACCAGTCGGGGTCAGCACATACGGGATAGGATTGTCATTGGAATCCTGAATAAAAATTTGTCTTAGAAGTTGCAGTTGAAGTCGCATTTAACGCTGGAAACCGCGATCCAAATAGCTCATCAGTCAGAAATGGTCAAGTCTCAGGCTACAGATCAGAATTCTCTTGCGTCGAAGGATGTGGACGAAGTCCGAAGCAAAAAGACGCCAGTGACTACTCTTTGGAGGAAAGGAAAAGGGAAGAAAAAGTATTCATCCCAAAAACAAAGTCAAAAGAAATGTAACAGATACGGTCTCCATCACATAAAGCCAGAACAGTGTTAAGCAAAAGGTAGGAAGTGTTTGAAATGCCAAAAGGTGGGTCATTTTGCAGCTGTAGGTTGGTCTAAGTCTGTGAGCGAAGTGAACAACAGTAGTGGTGGTGGTGCTACATATGGCAGCAGTGTTGATCGTTGGTTCTTAGGTGCATTATAAGCTGATTCGGATCAGGATGGTACATGGAAGGTTCAGCTCAAAGCGGTAAGCCAGTAGTTTTCAAAAGTGATACGGGTGCAGATATTACCGCCATTTCGATGTCTAGTTTGATAGTTTGCCAAATTAGCCCATGTTACATCCCTCCAAAATAGACCTTTTCAGTCCAGGAGGCAGGTTACAGTGTGCTGGACAATTTAAGACAGCAGTGACACATTGTAACAAGAAGTATGAGGTTGATATTTTTGTGATTAGCGGAGATTATGCGAGCAATTTGCTGGGTCGTCAAGCAGCCTGTGAAATGGGTCTAGTTGCGAGATTAGAAGATGTGGATGCTGAGTTGTTTGGAGATATAGATCTGTTTAAGTGTGAGCCAGTAAAGATTTAATTGGATGAGAATGCTGAACCTTACTGTATCAACGCAGCAAGGAGAATTGCCTTCCCTCTCATGCCAAAGTAAAAGAAGAGCTTAAGCGGATGGAAGAAGCCGGCATCATCGAAAGAGTAACCGGGCCAACAGAATGGTGTGCAACCATGGTACCAGTACAGAAAAGTAATGGGAAGCTCAGGATCTGTGTCTATCTGAGAAAGCGGAGTTATTGGTATCATAAACTACCTTGGAGGGTTCGTACCGAACTTTGCTACAATAATGCAACCAATACCGATCTGTTAAAGTCCGATAGAGCTTGGACTTGGTGACCATCCCAGCGACAGGCATTTGCTAAGGTCAAGCAAATGATTTAAGGTTCTACGGTGCAAGCATTCTATGATCCTAAGAAGCCTACGGCTGTTTGCGCAGATGCTAGTAGTTATGGCATTGGTGAGGTTCTGATGTAAGGCCATGGTGACCAACTCCACCCGGTCGCATTTTGTTCAAGAACACTCACAGAGACTGAGGTCAAATATGCGCAAATTGAGAAGGAGTACCTGGCAGCAGTGTGGACATTATCACGTTACCTGGTGGGGCTTTCAACTTTTAAGCCCTTGAAAGATCACAAACCATTAGTACCATTGATTAATCAGAGAGATCTTGACAAGACACCATTACGATGCCAAAGGCTCCAAATGCGCTTAATGCGGTTCAACTTAACCATCTAGCAGACCACGCACCTGGCCAGCAAATGGTAGTGGCCGATACTCTGTCAAGAAGCCCTCTCGAGTTTGAAGCGGATCCCGATACAGTGGAAGATGTTTAAGCATTCGTAAACTTGGTCGAATCTACAAGGCCAGCCACGGAGAACCAACTGGAGCGAATTAAAGGAGCAAGTGCAGTGGATACCCAGCTCCAAAAGTTGGTTGCAGTTACGTCACAAGGGTGGGCAACACGTGTGGAAGAAGTCCCACTCCAGATACGAGAGTTCTTTGATGCAAGTGGACACTTGTCGATAAGCAATGGCCTGTTAACATACGATGATCGCATAGTGATAGCTAGTGATACCGGTTGTCATGAGAAGGAAAATACTGGAAAGCATTCACACAGGCCACCAGGGCGTAACAAAGTGCTGCGACCAACCTGTCCGTGTGGTGGCCGGGTATTTCCAAAGAGATTAAGGCAAAGGTGGAGTCATGCCAGTTCTGTCAGCAACACCAACCGTGGCGGAGGAGAGAACCTCTGATTACCAAAGTCCTACCTGACAGGCCATGGTAAAAAAGGTTTCTACAGATTTGTTTGAGCTGGCTGGTCAGAGATACTTAGTGGTAATGGACTACTACTCAAGGTTCATTAAGATATTAAGCCTGATGGAGATAACAAGCCAAGCTGCGATCCAGAAGCTGAAGTCGGTATTTGCTCGATGGGGTATTCCAGAAGAACTGGTGAGCGATAACGGCACACAATTCAAATCAGCTATGTTCGACGAGTTCAAAGCAGAGTATGGATTTAAGCATACTACATCAAGCCCACATCACCACCAGGCGAATGGTTCTGCAGAAAGTGGAGTACGAATCTCCAAGCGGATCCTAGAACAGGAGGATCCGTTCCTTACTCTTATGGCCGATCGTGCAACTCCTGTCCCAGCTACAAGAAAGACACCGGCAGAGCTGATCATGGGAAGACAGATACGAACTACCATCCCAACAATGGTCAAAGTCTCACAGCGAAAGCTTACAGACCATGCAGCAGTCAAGAAAGCAGATGTTAAAGCAAAAGGGGGCTATAGGGAGTCTTTTGACAGAAGGAATGGCACAAGAGAGCTCCCGCCACTCCGACCAGGGAACTGGGTAGGAGTCAAGCTGGACTACAGAATCTAAAGTCATTAGTAAGGACCAAAGTCTTAGATCATACAAACACCTTAAGAAAGTCCCTACTCCCACCTGTCATGATACACTAGAGAATATATTCCCGGTTCCAGAAATCAATAGCGAGTCTACTCAAAAAGATGTCCAGGCAGGGGATACCGAAGTTCCGGAAAACAGCAACACCAGTCCCACTCATGACTCAATCCCAGAACAGAGGACCACCAATGGAAGACTCATTAGGAGACCAATTCGTTAGAGGGACGACCTTAAATAGTTTTATTTGTTTTTGTGAAATATGAACTTTTAAAAGTTCAATCAATCGTATAATGGAACAGTTCGTGTTTTAAGCCCTAGATTTCTAGATTTAAGAATGTGTTCAGTTAAGTTTCTCAAAGAGGTATTTTGTTTATCTATTCCTTAAAAGGGGGAGATGTGTCGATATTGTGCGGACCTATTTTATTGTTGTTAAGTAACGCAGGAACATGCGCAGAGTGAAGACAATCATATGCTTAGCTAAATGGCTGACTTTGTACATCTCGGCATGTTGTTGTTTTAGAATAAACTTAGTTGGAATTTCAAGACAAGCACAATCATGGTTATTGTTCCTTCGCGACGAGGGTGTGTGGAAAATTTGTAATCAAATATTGCTTGAAGTGTTGATGAATCGCACCAAACATTTTGATTTGAGCAGTTCTTTAACGGCAAGCTGTGTTGCAAGATTAATGATTTGTTGAGTGTGCCGATTACATTTTTCTGGATTGGTTTGCTCGGTGCTATCTACAGATGAATATCTGATTAAAATTAACAATGGAAGATTTTGTGTGGCTCCCAGGAAGCTTTGTCGCCTCGTGTGGTATCGTGATTGACTGATATTGTCAAACGATAAAAATAAAAATAAATCTAATCTGAAAACGTTATAAGGGTTTCTTATATTGGTGTCGGGAAATGAATGGAAATAATATACTACCATAAGCCATTCAGTAAACATTGTAATAAGCCAGTTGATCATTTCGTATTCCTTTTGGCGGTCTTATCTTACAGGTAAAGTTTGGTCACCTTTTCCTTATTATAATCGTGAATTTGACATGGAGACAGATGTTTTTGCGTAAACTGCGGTTTGCGGTTAGATATCGGTATATTCCCAATATGTTGCTAAAAGATTATTAATTACTAAGAAAATGACTCTACCTTGTAAAACATTGATCCCATACAGGAATTTCCTGGAAATAACCCTCCCTTATACTTTTACCTCTTTTTAGCCTAAATCCATGTCGAATTCCTGATCCGGAAAATAGATTTTAAATTTTAATTTAGCACGTTCGACACCCCTTTTTGTTATAGGTGACTTAAGGTGTAAACATGTAGTACTTTTCATCTTCACACTGAATTTATAATCAGGTAATTTATACGAATAGCACGTAGCTCTTTTAGGGGCAGTACCTTGGGTACGCCCTTTCTTCTCCGAATTGTCTGTTTATTCTGCTGTTATGTAACAGTTTTCGAGGACTATTTTCTTTTGGCATATCTCCTCAGCTTTGATTTTAATTCTGTTAGTAGGTGTATTATAATTTTTATATTGTCAATCTTGTTTTTGTTTTGCCCGAACTTAACTGTAAGACTAAGAAATTTATGGTAGAAAGTCATTTTGTAAAGCGTAAACATTGCGAAGGTACGTTCGAAGGTATGCGAACTCCGCTCCGCATAGCTTAGCGTGATTCGCTTGTTAAGTGTAAAAACATGACGAAGGTTCAAGGTGTTGACAGCTCAGTAAGCGTCACCTTTATGAGCGGTGACCCACACTTTCGTAGAGAGATCAGAGCCAGTCCCCGTTGTACTAACTTTCTTAGTAATAGAGAATAAAGAAAGAGACAACAAAACAATGAGTGTTAGAGTTTTTACTTCTAACAATATGCAATGTTAAGAGGTGTTTTTATTGAACAGCGATTTTTCTACGAAAGATGGCTGCGTTTTCTCTTTGGTGGTTTGGTTACAGTCAAATTTATGGTAAACATCGTGGTGTGTTACTCTTGGGTGGGGTCTTTTGATTTCAGAAGTTTGAACAATTGCAAGTGTGTTGCAAGGTGGATTTTGTGTCATTATTGGCTGTTGAGAGAAATTGTTTGGCTGTTTCGAGAGTAATTTTGAGAACACTGAACGAATGGAAATGTTTTCGATGCTTGGAGAAAGTGATCTTGTGGAGTCGTTCATGTTTGGCCAAGGTCGAGTTCAGATACTATCGTATCGCATGTTTATTTGATTCTGTTATCTGGAATGAATGATTAACGGAGGTAAGTTAATATGATGTAACCTACTAACGTTGAAAACGTATTAAGTCAAAGGAACAGTTTTGGTCTCGGTCCGCATTTTTGTCAACAAAATAAACACATACCGCTAAAAAAGATGATGATACGGACCACGCGCAAAGCTGTCAATTGTTTCTCGAATGTGCGCGTGTTAAATATTCAGTAGTAACATCTCATTTAAATCTATATCTACTTTTATTAAGTTGGTAAAATCTGTAGAGACATCACACCAACAAACTCGCGCGCAAAGTGGGAAGACTATATGAAGGCTTGAAATCATATTAGGAACGGTTTTGATCAAGAAACGAACTAGGAATATTCCACAACATTGCAAATAATCGTGAAAGCTGTTTAGCCGGAAACGTTTTCTAAAATTCCAGATATTGCTTTATATAAGTTGCTGTTGTTCTTTCTTTTTTTCCCCCCAAACCACCGTGACAGTTTCTTTCCTTCTACATCCACAACATGCACCAGCCATTCGAACATCTGATGATGCAGTGATGTAAATGGAGTACAATCACTTTTCGACCATGCAGTCGATGGTGAGTGACGAGTCGCCGGACCTCATTAGAAATCGGCGATTCGGTCAATTCCAGACAACAAAGCCTGAAATTAGATTAACGCGGTGATGGGATTGAAGTTATGAAGAGGATATCCTTTCGGGGAAGTTTTATCGTTTTCGAGAACCTTATCGTTTTCCGGATCATACTAATGATAAGAATCGTTACGATCATTAGGATGATAGTCTTAATTCACACTCTTATGTTGTACTCAGAAATAAGTGTCTTGGTGGAAGATGACATAAAGCGATGAAGTTTCTCCTTGGTGGCGACGATATCGGCAAGAACGCAAATAAATGCCACGACTCTTCATAGCTTGGACGGTATTTTATATTATTTGTGTTTGTAGCTCTTTTGAAACAATAAACATTGTACAAAGCAACTCTCGATAACTTTTTTCAACAGCTTTTGCCGGCTCTTTCTCGGTTATCGTTATTCGGCTTATGGCTCGTGTACGACGACCTGACTGACGTTATCAGAGTAACAGTTAGCACAGGATAGCACAGGAACAGTAGGCTCAGAGGCACAGAGGAACAGTAGACACAGAGGAACAGTGGGCACAGAGGAACAGTAGGCACAGAGGAACAGAGGAAGAGTGGGTACAGAGGCACAGAGGAACAGTGGGCACAGAGGAACAGTAGGCATAGAGGAACAGGGGAACAGTGGGTACAGAGGCACAGAGGAACAGTGGGTACAGAGGAACAGTGGGTACAGAGGCACAGAGGAACAGTGGGCACAGAGGAACAGAGGAACAGTGGACACAGGGGAACAGTAGGCACAGAGGCACAGAGGAACAGTGGGCACAGAGGAACAGCGGGCACAGAGGAACAGAGGCACAAAGGAACAGTAGGCGTTTTAAGGGTCGCATGTTAGGCGTTCGACTTACGTCTTCCCCGGCCGTAACACTATGACCTAATTTCATTTCTTCAATAACCTCGTGCTCCTCGCATTTTACAGTTTTTTTCTCCAAATAAAATTGTCGTCAAGCAAATTGGCTTCTTTTTTACATCCTTTTTTATTTCATAACAATTTTTCCTAAGAACGAATAAATCATGTCCTCTTCTAGTACAGCGAGAAGAGGACATGATTTTCTGTTTAAAGTTTAATGATTGAAGTCATTTGATTAAATTTTCAAAAAGGAAGTTACCTTCTGATGGTCCTCCTTTGCTGACCTTTTAACAGTCTGTACTATTCACCAAGCTTAGGTAAAGTAGCCCTTCACGACTTTGTTACATTTCTGGCCGCACAGGCTACCTCTAAAGACGTGGCTTTGAGCACTCAAACATCAAATGAACTGAAAGGACGTTGAACACTTCATCAACCCAAAAGTTCAAACTGACCCGAAATGACTACGTTTCACACTGACTTCAAATACTTTCGCGGACCTCTTCAAAGGGCCAAAAGGTGGATTTCGATCATTTTATTTTTGTCTTTCATTTTCTTACTGTCGTTGTGATGACTGGGTTTCAAACTCCTGTTTTAAAGTGAATAGCGCAATATTCACAAAGATTTCTTGATGAAAAATAGCAGCAATACAATGAGAGAAAAACTCTTGCATGTGTAAAAGTCGCTTTTCGCCAATAAATCTTTAAACAAGCAGATAAATAAATAAATAATTTCTTTTTTTTTCCTACGCCCTTGAATTCTGATACATACAAATTATTTTCTAATTCAAATCCACAAATAACAAAGTCTGCCCTTTTTTATTACAAACCTGAGCTTTCGGTTATCACGTCTCTTGTTGTTTAACTGTAGATTATAAGCTTCAGGAAAATGTGCTTTGCCTTCTCTACCTGAGTGCCAAAAGGTAGCAAAGAAACGCGCAAATTTTTTTTCAAGAAGCATAAAAAACTCTGAGCTAGGCATCGCAGTGCAGAAACTAAGAACCTACTGTTCCTCTGTGCCCACTGTTCCTCTGTTCCTCTGTGCCTACTGTTCCTCTGTTCCTCTGTTCCTCTGTTCCTCTGTTCCTCTGTTCCTCTGTTCCTCTGTGCCTACTGTTCCACTGTTCCTCTGTGCCTACTGTTCCTCTGTGCCCACTGTTCCTCTGTGCCTACTGTTCCTCTATGCCTACTGTTCCTCTGTGCCTACTGTTCCTCTGTGCCTACTGTTCCTCTGTGCTTACTGTTTCTCTGTGCCTCTGTTCCTCTGTGCCCACTGTTCCTCTGTGCCTACTGTTTCTCTGTGCCCACTGTTCCTCTGTGCCCACTGTTCCTCTATGCCTACTGTTCCTCTGTGCCTACTGTTCCTCTGTGCCTACTGTTCCTCTGTGCCTCTGTTCCTCTGTGCCTACTGTTCCTCTGTGCCTACTGTTCCTCTGTGCCCACTGTTCCTCTGTTCCTCTGTTCCCACTTCCTCTGTGCCCACCGTTCCTCTGTACTGTTCCTCTGAACCTACTGTTCCTCTGTACCTACTGTTCTTCTGGGCCTCTGTTCCTATGTACCCTATGTGCCTACTGTAATCGGTGACGAAGGTAAATAACTAATGACGTCAGTCAGGTCGTCGTACACGAGCCATGAGCCCGTTATTCTTCCTTTCAGTTATCACGCTCCTATATTTAGAGTCAGAGCTGTTGTGCGCAAAATTGCCTTTCAACAGGATATGTCATTTCAACGCTTACCTATTTGAATCACTCACGAATCATTTCCTCTTTGATTCTTTGGAGCTCTTAACCTAATCCTAAATGTTGACATGGAACTTGACACTCCGTGAAAAATCAGTTTCGTTCACGGCATTTACTATGGGATTAATTTATCAGCATGCTCTATACTCTCATAAAACACGCTATAATTAGCCAAGTAGAATCCCTATAGATCGTTTTCACTCACGTGACCAATTCCTTGACTACCGTTGCTACGCCGCCATATTGGTGTACCTCAATTGTAAACAAACTAGTAGCGTCCTTCGCGTGGAACATGGTTTTGTGTCTGATCGTTGGCTGTGGCAGCAAAAGTGGACGAGATAAAGGGTTGTACTTTGCAAGGGTGCCTTCTGTGGTCACAAATCAAGGCGAAGAGGCACAGAAACTATCCGAAGAAAGAAGATCGCGCTGGGTTTCAGCGATAAGCAGTGACGATCTGACCGAAGAGATCTTAGAAAACGATCGTGTGTGCGAAAAGCATTTTGTTTCAGGACGGGCAGCTAAGAGCTGGGATAAATTTAATATTGACTGGGTTCCGACATTGCTTTTGCGACACAAGAAAGCGTCTGATCGAGCAGATCATAAAGAAGCGGCGGCAAAACGAAGCGAGAGAGCGAGGGAACGTGAACTGGTGAAGAAGCCGGCTTTTGAAAAGAGAGAACGAGAGCTAGAACTAGAGCGAACGGCGAAGAGACAGAAACTTAATGAGCCCGGTGAACAGGTTTCAAACCTCAGCTTTGAAGGAAATGAGGACGAAGAGAAAGAATTAACAGTTGAAGCTGGCACACAAACTGAAGAGTTTGAATATTTATTCAGCTCTCTAAACATTGACCGGAAACCATTTTGATCGGTGGGAATTTGTACAAAACGAAGAAAAAGTTAAATTCTACACTGGATTGCCTTCCTTCGATATCCTGCAAAATGTTTTCGAACATGTTTCTCCGTTTGTTGCTTACAAGTCCCAGAATCTGACCACATTTCAAGAGTTTGTCATGACTTTGATAAAACTTAAACTTGACGCACCACATCAAGATCTTTCATATCGCTTTAATGTCTCCCTTTCAACAGTTTCAAGGATTTTTTCATCCTGGATGGTAGCGTTAGATGTACGCCTGGCTCCACTTATCAACTGGCCTGAACGTGAGGATTTATGGCGAACTATGCCACAGTGTTTTAAATATTCATTTGGAAACAAAACTACCGCGATTATTGATTGTTTCGAAGTATTTATTAATAGACCATCAAATCTGCTCGCAAGAGCACAGACATGGTCATCGTACAAACACCATAACACTGTTAAGGTGCTGATTGGGATAACTCCACAAGGTACAATCTCCTATGTTTCCCAAGCTTGGGGAGGACGAACATCAGACAAATATTTAACTGAGAACTGTGGAATTTTAAATAAGTTGTTGCCTGGGGATCTGGTCTTGGCTGACCGTGGTTTCACCATCGCAGAGAGTTACCCTTCGCTTGTGCGACAGTATCTCTCTCAACTTGTAAGATTTGTTCTTTTGTAATCTCAATATCTACCTCTATCTACCTAAGCTTTTAATAACTCAGGATAACTCAGAGCGAGGTACCTCTTATTAAACAGATCGCTAATTGTAGGTACGCAGCGACTTTTGAGGATATAGCTGTCTGCATACTCGGGTATTAAGCTTAGAGCGATGGGCTTGCTACTAGACTTACTAAGTTTAGCATAAAAGGTATCCATTTCCGGTTTTGAGGGAACAGGGATCACCTTTGACACGTTTCCTTTAGCAGAGTTATCAGGGCTGGAAACATTGGAGAGGTTCTCAATCTTGGCATCTAAATCGTTTTTTATTTTCCTTGCGGATGTAAAGTTTATTTCTCGCACCTTTTCATATTCTACTTGTTTGACTTAGGTAGGTAAAAGCCACGAGCACTTCACTTGCGTGCAGGCAAGTCTGCCATTTATTTTTGTCCACGCTTCCAGATAAAATAGCACGTTTGCTATATGCGAACAGGTTTCTGCCAAGCCAGCCTTGCAACCTAAGCAGTGTGCAAACAAAATTGTTCCTTCTCTTTCCGTGATAACCCAACATGAAATAAGAGAGTCGTTCATACGTTGGGAGTGTCTCACCTTTGCTAAAACAAGAAACTTGTCGGCGATTATGTGGCCTTGCACGCTTGCGATAAAACCAGAGACCATTTGGTTATATGCTTCAAGGCTTCGGAAAGCTTTAAACTGTTTCTGAGTGAGGAAACTTGTCTCCAAGACAAGATAACACAAAATATCTGTGGATTCAACAGGAGACAAACAGTCCGGCTTAAAGTCCTTCCCTTCGACTAAAACTGGATCAATTCCAATTGCCGCTATTTTCTGTAAATATCGATCTCTGACTGGAAAATCCAGCTGCTTCGCGTATTCGGATATCGGAAATGAATAGTCGACCCCGCTTTTGTTCTGGGGCTCTTTTTCTTACTCTTTTGAATCCATTTTACTTGTGGGAATGATAATTGTGGAAAAATTACGGGGATTACGCAATCGAAAGTGGTACACCAATATGGCCGACCGGAAATGATGTGACGTCACGTGAAAACGATCTATTAGAGTGGCTCAAATAATCTGCTTGGTTGTACAAGACTAAAGTTGTCAAAAATGTCAAACCGTCAAAGTTCGCATTATGCAGTGGTTTACAAACTTAACAATTCGGCAGGTCGAATTCAACGCTTGCCTGAAGGTCTAATATAGAATCTGAAAGTGAAATGTTTAGTGAAATCCGGCCGAATTGTGGCTCATAAAAACACGCGAGTTTTTTCACATGACAGTTAGCGAAAAAACTTTTCAAGCGTGTGTTTTATGAATGAACGACAGCCGAATTTACCGGAACATGAAGATTGCTCGGGATGACAGCGCCTTAAAATGCGGCTACAGTGACTGATGTGATCTTCCACTCAATGGATCGGAAAGGGCATCGGCAAGACCAACCGGGATTTTAGTGAAGAGCAAAACAACGTCTTGCCGTTAAGTTTGCAGAGGAGAGACTCAGAGAAGATGCTTCCTTAGGACAAAGAACTTCTTTGCCTGCGGAGGATATTATTCATCTTCTGTCTTTTTGCCTCAAAACCACGCAATTTGCATACAACGGCACTCACTATCAACAGGTTTTTGGTACAGCAAATCATCTTCAATCAAATTGATGACTTTTCCAAATGAGCTTATCAAACTATTCCGCTAATTCAAAGAAAATTGTATAAATAAGCATCAGTAGGTACTCACTTTCCAGTTTTACAAGACTGTGTTTCCTTTCCTGGACAAGCTTTTCCATTACACGAATTGCGCACTTTGATGAATGGGGTCCGAGATTTGGTTGAGATTCCGCATCCAGAACATGCACTCCATGCACTCCAGGAGTAAGCACAGTCGACTGGACAGCACTGCTGTATATTACAGCTTCTCGTTTCGTTCAGCAGGTGCGAAGGACAACTTCCTCCACAAGACGCGTCACTCACTATTTTGCGAGTGCGCGTAGTTGTGCCCCCTTTGCAAGTACGGCTGCAAGCGGCCCAAGCACTCCACTGGCTTAACTTACAGTCCGTAGGCTTACAGATAAACCGCCGTCTTCTACGACGTCTCCAAGAGTTTGAAGGCGTCAAAATGACAGCGACTACAGCTAACACTAGTACAAGGGTAGCACAACGCGTCATGGCTCGAAAGAAAATTAAGGCGTTTTCTCGAGTGTGTCTTCTCGAAGGTCCTCAGTGAACCTAATGAGCCACGCATCTAGTCGCCTTTCAGCTTAATATTCTAATAGGAAAGTAAAACTGAATGTTTTTGAACAACCGCTTTGTGTGGTTGACCATAATCAAAACATTATGTAACATCAGTGTTATGTAATGCTGTCAAATTACCTCGCGACATTGCTACTATTCTGAGGCGACAACCGTCAATCACGTTAAATATCACGGGCCCAAGTGTACTTGAAAATCTCACGAAATGCAAAGCAGTACAAAAAAAGCATGCACAGAAATTGATACTAAACAAGGCCTCAAAAATAAGTTCAAAAATGTAAAATAGCTAGTTGCCCAGGCAGGAAAATCATTTTGCAGCCTCAACAGATAGGCTTTCGAGTCTATCAGCTGGATGTCCAGGTTTCCTGCTGCGGTGTACCCAGCGAGACTAAACAGACACAGCAGTGAAAGGGTCGAGTGGATTGGGTTCTCAATTACAATTCCTAATTAGCTTAGGCATATCTATCAATTCTATTGCCTGATGGAATTATGATAAAGAGGCAAGACCACTTGTCTCTGAGAACAATTTCAGTTGCTACGTTTCAGAACTTTTGGATCAGTAAACTGATATTAAAATTTGCAGAGAAAGAAGTGGGTGGAGTCGACATAAACAAGTGCCACCATAAAATTTGAGGTAAAGTTTAGCCTTCGCTCAAGCGATGTAGATATCACTCCCACGGTGACTTGTGCATTGGAATTTGACACCTAAAGCTTGAATTCGACTCTATCTGCACGAGGCGAGGCTCCCTGGCTCAACACAGGGTCAAAATTCGATACTAAAGAAATTTGTAAAATTTCCGTTACAGATGATCAAGGCTAACAAAGCTCTGCACTGCAAGATCGATACATCCTTGCAACGCATTATGTATCACTACAAATATCTTTTAACGTTATTAGTTAGCTTATGGATGGGAACTTGGATACACATATGCAACATATATGCAACATATATGCAACATATACACATGTATACACATATATGCAACATTGACACGAGCAACATCGATTTTCCGCCCTAATATATCTTCGTACGATACAAAAAGACAAAGAAACAAATAAATAACCAAACGAACTAAATCTTAACAGTTTCCTCAACCGAATCGTTTCTGAAAAATAACATGGATGCAGACGTGGTGGGTCCCAGATTTACAAAATAAGTGGAATGCGCATGCAATGATGCCCGGGACTACTTTCTTCCGAGACTCGAATTCCACATCATGGGAATTTAGAATTCGGTCGATAGTCTTTTGCGTGTTTTTTTTCCCATGGATCAGGATAGAGGACTGCTCTTTTGGTAGCGTTCAACCATCTGAAGTTACTTAATAACTCTTGGTTTTTTTTTCGATTCATATCACGTCAAGTTCCCTGACGAATAAACCAACGCGCTTGCTGTATCGCTTGCTGGTCAAGGTACAGAGATCATATTAACATCACAAAGATCTTTGTGTTCATATTTGATTCAAAACTTTTAACATTAAAGCTATCAACAGAGACCTACAGTAAGTGTGACTGAAATAGACTGAATTTAAACTGAAAGATTAGATTCTCTCAAAAGTTTGAGTTAAGTAAATGTAATTAATTGTGAGGGATCCCCATATGAGCTCGATTAAATAGCTGGTTATCAAACTCCAGCTAAATGCTTGCGGTGAAGCACATTTGAGTTGCTTTTGTAGTTGCTGTCTTCGTTTTTTCGTCGCCTCGCAGTTGTTTACGAATGATGTAAATGGAGTACAATCACTTTTCGACCATGCACTTGAAATGAGTGACGAGTCGTCGGACCTCACTGGAAATCGGCGATTCGATCGATTCCAGACAGCAAAGCCTGAAATTAGATTAACGCGGTGATGGGATTGAAGTTAGGAAGAGGGTATCAGTTTTAGTGTTTTCGAGAACTTTACCGAAAGTATTCATCGTTTTCCGGATAAAGCGATCCTCTTCACGAAATACTGTCATGCGGATGGTGTGGAGGAGAAAGTAATGGAAGTTGCGAGGCCATTTTTTTAAATGAGGTTTTGGAATCCACCAGAGCAAGTTATGCTCTTCAGACCAAAACTCATGATAATTACAATCAATAGTAGCCCATAACAATAATATTAATCATACTAATTATAACAGTCATTATGATGATAGTCTTAGTTCACACTCTTAATTAAGTCGTACTCAAAAATAAGTCTCTTAATGGAAGATGACATAAAGCAATCAAGTTTCTCCTTGGTGGCGACGATATCCGAAAGAACGCAAATAAATGCAACGACTCTTTATGGCTTGGACGCCATTGTATATTAATTGTGTGTTAGAAGCTCTTTTGAAACAATAAACATTGTGCTAAGCAACTCCCGGTAACTTTTATCAACAGCTTTTGCCGGCTCTTTCTCGGTTTTCGTAATTCTTCCTTTCAATTCTCACGCTCCTATATTTAGAGTCAAAGCTGTTGTGCGCAAAATTGCCTTTCAACAGGATATGTCATTTCAATGTGGCGACGCTTACCTGTTTGGATCACTCACGGATCATTTCCTCATTGACTCTTTCGGGCTCCTAACCTAATCCTAAATGTTAACATGGAACTTGACGCTCCGTGGAAAATTATTTCTAATAACGTCAATTACTGCGCCTGGCATGTTTACAAACCTTTGTTTAGTTCTTCTATTTCTATTTGCCGACTCGCCTGTTCCGAAATTTCACTTTCAATTAAAGAAAAATGGAAGTTGCGAGGCCATTTTTTTTAAATGAGGTTTTGGAATCCACTAGAGCAAGTTATGCTCTTCATACCAGAACTCATAATAATTACAGCCAATAGTAGCATATAAAAATGATATTAAACATACTAATGATAACAGTCATCATGATGATAGTCTTAATTCACACTCTTAATTAAGTCATACTCAAAAATAAGTGTCTTAGTGGAAGATGACATAAAGCGATCCAGTTTCTCCTTGGTGGCGACGATATCCGAAAGAACGCAAATAAATGCAACGACTCTTCATGGCTTGGACGCCATTGTATATTAATTGTATGTTAGTAGCTCTTTTGAAACAAAAAAAAATGTGCTAAGCAACTCTCGGTAACTTTTATCAACAGCTTTTGCCGGCTCTTACTCGGTTCTCGTTATTCTTCCTTTCAATTCTCACGCTCCTATATTTAGAGTCAAAGCTGTTGTGCGCAAAATTGCCTTTCAACAGGATATGTCCTTTCAATGTGGTAACGTTCCGTGGAAAATTATTTTTAATAACGTCAATTACTGCGCCTGGCATGTTTAAAACCTTTGTTTAGTTCTTCTATTGCTATTTGCCGACTCGCCTGTTCCGAAATTTCACTTTCAATTAAAGAAAAAAAAACTAGAGAAAAGTCCCGGAAAAGGTCGGACATAGTACAATTTGGGAGATGGCGTGACAGCTTTAGCTTAGCTCTATGCTATATACTCTTGGTCATATGGCACGCTCTATAAGAGTATAGGGCTCTCTTTCAACCAATGACAGCGCACGTTATATCCGAACTTTATTATAAATTTAATTAGATTAATCGATCCTTAGATTTGCCTCCCCACCAGCCCTGACTTCTCATCAAGTAAATTTCCGCAAATAATGGAGATGAGAGAGGTGTGTTAGCTGTGAGAGGGCTTTTCTCACTGAGCCAGACCAAAGTTATCACTGAGGCTACATCAACAATTTGTCTCTCAGATGACGCCCTTTTTCTTATTTTTCTTTTCTCACTCAGAATTAAAATCGTGCTTTAAAGAAGAAGTAAAAGTAGTTGAAAAGCCAAATACTAAATAGACATTGATTCATTCATCGTCTCAGCCGACCAGACATTTTAAAAAAATGTTCTGGTGTTGTGTAACAAGGCAAGCGTAGATGTTTTTTAAACTGGTCACACTATCATTGCAAACAACGTCGGATTTGGAAATTTGTTCCATCCAAGTGAGTTTTTGGTCATTCTTAAGATCTAATTATGTTGTTTTACAAATTATTTCCGACTCACTTACAATTTTTTCTTATTGTTTGGATAAAATAGACGGCATGTCTTTTGTATTCCAATGGTACAAACACGGAGGCATTGTTAGGAAGTGTGAACATGTTCATTAGAAAGAAAAAAGAGCGAGATATTTTTGTGCCGAAGAAGCATTCGCACAAAAAGCAACGCTCTCAAAACGTGACGTTTGGGCGACGACAAGTCAGCATTATCAAATTCAAATGAGAGAAGATTACCATGAAATATATAGAAAACAAAGGTGTGAAACGAAGTTGTACTCCCCGTTCGAGTATCCCAAATGGAAGAAAGCAGAATCAATTTAGGACAAATGAGATTAAAACGAGACAAGCTGTGGGGTGTTTCTTATTTCACCAACTGAATTTTTAGTCAGTTTCTAAATACCATTCTTATTGAGAGATCGATTGAGACGGTCAACCCCGAGTTGTTTCGTACCACCGGCAAATCGTTTTAAACGCTAAATTAGACCAAACCAGATATATCTCTTTCAGTCAAACAGCTTTATCTTCACAAATAGTTTTTCACGTGCTCTTTGGAGTCCTTCAGGTGAACTCCGCAGAAGGTTTGACCAATTTAATCATAAAATGATACGTTTCCATTTGTACGGATCCATGTATCACGTCTCAGCCACAGTTATCTACAGCCAGAGGAGGGCTTGAGTTATTCTTATTACAGGTCACCTAACGAAGTACCTTAACTTAGCTGTAGATCTGTTTTACAGAGCCGTTAACTCAATTTTTTAGACGCTCTGAGCGAATAGCACGATTTCTGTCATGTCGTGAAACGCCGTTAACTATAAGGTACCCTAGCAAAAACTGAATTGAGCACACTTTCACACGTATCGGCTTGTGTGACCAAAGGAAGTATTAACCAGAACGCCATTCTCTATGCCTATCCGTATGCTCCTAATAAAGTAAAAGAGAAACTAAAACTTTATGAGAAAGTTAGCGTGAAAATAACATTGATGTCTCAATGAACTGCCCTTCGTCGCGCAGTCGAAGGTTTTGTTAGACCATAATTTCGGCGAGACTGGCTAACTAACTATACGTAACTCAGTATCACTAAGTTCAATGTTGCAGAAAATGTTGTTCACCGTGATTTTTTTCTGATGAATTGACGCTAAATCTCATTTTTATCTCACGATGTACAGACAGTATATCAATGTATTGATCGCGACCTTTAGACTCAGGCGACGAGGTCGAAAGTTTACATGTCGCATTTTATAGCACCTTGGCCCGCTGTTGTATCACTCAGACTGAGAGTGTCTAAATCATTGCAATCTGAACATTTTTCACAAAGCAGACATTTTAGGGCGGAAAGAGGCTAGCGCTCTCATGGAGTTACCTATAAGACAACATGCTTGACAGTGAGTATTTGCTGTTTTGAAGCCCTCAAACGATTACAGGTGACTAAAACGATAAAGGTGTGCGGTTTAATTTCCACCTTCCGCTAAGCAGGTGAGGGAGCTCGAAACTCGCTAAGTTTCATTTTTGAAGGGTATGCAGCCGTATTCCTACAGAAAACTGAGACGATAATAGAAACCATTGGAAGATGTCAGCGTGTTAGTGAGCAAAACGTAAACCCGCGATAAATGAATGTGAAACTAATGGTTGAGCCAGTGTTCATCTGCTACCATCTGTTGTAAATATCGTACGTAATAATAACAAAGTACACTTTGGATAATTTCTGTATGAAAGAAACCTTTAATTCCACTACCCCTCTCGACAAGCCACCAAAACATTTTTTAAGGTACTGGCACCTTGAATTTAGTTTCATCTGTTAATCAGGCAAGCACTAAAACTACACTCAATACTCAGAGAGCATTTTAGTTTTAAAGGAAAAGTTATAATTAATAACGCAAGAGGTACCGTATGTCCAAGGTATGGTTATGGCACTAGACTATGAATGGGAAGGCCAAGATTCAAACCCTGGCAAGGGCTATTAAGTTATATCCCTGCCATGATCAACATAAGCTAACCTAACAGTGCTTCACTCAACTATACCAGGAGTATAAATGGCTCCTGATGAAATTCTGGAGGAGGGGTGGGAAGGGTAACCAGCGATGGGATAACATTCTATCGAGGAGGCTTTGCAATACTCCTCCCGCGCCTCATACTAAGGATACAAACATGGATTCCAACGGTAGAGACCACTTGGCTTGGTTGCAATCCTCAACCTCTCTTACATATCGTCACACCGGATGTCGAATCGTGCGTTAACATACCGGAGTACGAGAGGCATAAACAATATGTGAAATTACCATAGTATGCCGGAAGTCGAATCGTGCATTAACATACCGGAAGTCGAGGGGCGCGCACGTGAGCAATGTGTAAAAATGAGTGGCATGATACGAGAACATGCCAACATGAACCTTCCACGTTCTTAAAGCGTGAAACGACCGGAAGTCTATCGTCAGAATACAGTGTAGCAAATGTTGACGATTCGACGCGATTCGACTTGAATCGAACGACTCGTCACAGCAAATGACGATCCGTCATACCGGATGTCAATTTGCAGAAGAAGACAATATTTTCTAAGTGTCTTGAAAATCGACATCCGGTATGACGGGTCGTCATTTGTTGTGTCGAGTCGTTCGATTCGACAACATTTTCAACCCCCATGCGGAATATTTTTTAAGTCTCTTGCAAATTGACTTCTGGTATGCGTTTCCATGTCATAAGAGATGGTTTCTCAGACCTCCAGTATCACAACACCACTTAGCCGCGAATCGACTTCCGGTTTGACGATTCGTCAACTGCCTTTGACGATTCGCAGCGGTTTGGGTGTATTGGACAACCCTCCGTAACACAATTTATATCCCGAACTCGTAACAGATATTCAGATCTTTAGGAGGACGGATTTTGACATGTAGAAAGGAACTTGGAACTATCCGCAAATCCATATTAGATCATTGACATTATATCTGCATTCAATGCACCCTTCAAAACACTTCTCAACGCAACTTTCACCACCCTCCTTAAGCTTTACTGACCTCTTAGTGAGAGGTTAAGGTTAGATTTCTTGTTAATCTTTAAGCCACACATACCCCGGAAGCGCCGGTATGAAAAATAGACGGTGAGCTCGTGTACATCTCAGATGACTTACAAAGCGAAATTAATAGTAATAATGGACTAGCAGCGGGTATATCCTTAAATTTCGATTTATACGATGCACCTCCTCATACATGTTGTCAGCTTTTTCACAAAATCATGGACGATGATATAAGTTATGTTGTAATGCTGTCGGCAGACAATTGGTATTTCGCAATCTCGGTGCATTAGGAGATGTCACCGATTCTCGATCTAGTTGGCCCTCTATAATCTGACCATTCCCTATTGGCCGTTCGTATTTACACAACGGTTTGGTTATGAAAAGGTCCGAGTTAAGCTTTTTTAAATACGAAAACAAGGAAGCTTCTAGTTACTTCCACGTCGCTTTAAAGAGAAACTGAAAGTAAACGTTGCGATTATCCGAAGGATAAGACCGCCGTCGATAGCTTTTATCAATGTCCCGATCGATGAGTATTTAAAACAAAAACATCCCCTGTACTGACATTTAAATTCATTTAGGATCAACCAGAATGAACAAGATTAAGTTCTTAAACTCAACAGTTGTATGTTTAAGAAGTGAATGTAACTGCGACGTTCTGCTACGGCTTATAATATTTTGCGAAACGAAACGAAACGGAACTAGGTGAGATATAACAAAACTAAACGAATGATACAGATATATTTTGTAATAAGGTAAAGATAAGTTTCACAAGGATTTTGGAGTAATCGTTAATTAACAAGAAGGATTTTTATTCATCTCGCAAAGTAGTAATTTAGGAAGAGTTACTATTTTGCGAAATCGACTAATAGTCCATTTCGCAAAATAGTATCTCTCCTAAAATTACTGTTTTGCAAAATGTATTTTAATATGGTTTAACAAATAAGAGGAAGTAAAAATCTTTGGTGATCTACTAATTTGTAATGTTTAAATATATTTTTGTGACATGAAAGAGGTCAAGTTGTCACCGCAGTGTGAAAATAGTCAATTTCGCAAAATAGTAACTTCTGAAATTATTACTTTGCGAAATGAATAAAACTCCTTATTATCAATTGACGATTACTCCAAAATCCTTGTGAAAGTTATCCTTAGCTTATAAGAAAATATATCAGCATTATTCCTTTAGTTTCATTATATCTCCCTGGTTTCGTTATATCTCGCCTGGTTTCGTTATATCTCGCATTTGATCATATCCTCTGTATGTTATTTTGCGCTATATAAATATGAAATATTATATTATTGTTTCGTTTCGTTTATTTAGAATAAGCCTTTTGCGACCACCTGATCGATAAAAGCTCTGTCGATGGCTTTTATCGAAAAAACAGATGAAAAAAGATTTCACCTTAACAACCAGTTTACTTGACTTCAACTTATACCACCATATACGTTTTCTCTTGAAGAGGAGCCGGTTGGTGGAGAGGTCTTAATCTGATCGATAAAAAGCACTCTGGACGGCTTTTATCGAATACTAGATAAATATTTACGCACACACCTCCCATTCTACTAATTTGAACGCAAATCTCTACAATGAACATTAAGAAAGGTACTTACACTCCAGTATAACAGGACTGTGTTTCCTTCGCAGGACAAGCCGTCCCGTTGCAAGAGCTCTGTCGTATAATATTTGTGGACCGCGATTGCGTAGAATTCCCGCAGCCTGTACATGCACTCCAGGCACCCCAGGTGTAAATACAGTCAACAGGACAACATTGTGTATTACAATTCATCGTGTTTGACAGGTGGTATGGGCAACTTCCTCCACAGGATTCTGTAACAGTTTTCCTCCGAGTACGTGTACGAATTCCTCCGTTGCAAGATCGAGTACAGGAGCTCCAAGAGCTCCAGTTACTAACTTGACAACGAACGGCCGAACAACTCCTTCTCCTACGGCTCCACCAAGCATAAGAAGGCGTCAAAACGACGGTAATCGTCGTTAATGCAAGAATTAGCGAACAAAACTGTACCATAGCTGAAAAGTTATAGCTCTGAAAGTTTTGGACAAGCTTTTGCAAGCCTGTAAGTGAGAAGCGTGCCCTTACCGGTTTGCACCAGTCCCCTGTGTCACGTCATCCCTATCGTATAATTTCTACGATATTCGCGCCATCATCTCATGATATCGAATATTCATTCGATATCATGAGATGATGACGCGACGGGAAGTGGGAGGGGCCGGAAGTAGATTTACCACAACAGACAAAAGCCGGGATGCTCCACTTGAATCGGCTATCTCCTTCAGGTGTTTTTTAAAAGGGAAAGGGTTTCCTAGTTGAACTGGGGTTCCGTAGAATGAAAAATTTTAGTACAAATCAACAAAGAATCAGATGGGTTTTGGTTTCGGTCTGGTGCTCGATTGAAACCAAAACGATTTCTTTTGTTTTATTTTCCAAAATTGACACATAATCAGGTTGGGAAATTGATACGTTACTTTGATTCTGGATATAGGAAAAGAAAACTTCTTGGAGAGAGTAGTTATAAAGGAAGAAAACGTTCATACCCTAGAGTGAAGCCTCCCCGGCGAAAATTTGCTTAGTATTTCCCGGAAATGGCCCCCACGCCGGCGTACTTCGATCTGCTTTTTAATACTAATACTCAGAGTTAATCATCAAATTATTTTTCTTTCTGTTGACGGATAATTTATTTTTCTTTTGTTCAGCAATTCCCAGAAAAGCTCCCTTAAGATGAATACTAATTTACTGATAGTGAACCAGTCCTAAACAGAGATTTTGCGTCTAAGTTGCTACGAGTCTAGCATTATTTTATTATGTATCTACCCTGATTTGACAAACTCAGCCACTCCAAGTAACTGAATTTCATTACTGTTACCAACTCGACTAATGCGTATGACTGACCTACAATTTTTAGTCTACAAGCCGATTCACTTCAATTGTACAGTTTCACCTGATGCAAATTACTAGCAGGGATGCGTTATACGCAACCTCTGGATAACCTCATACTTTTACATGGTAACAATACCATACCAACGACTTTGGTAGGAACATGTTCCGTGAGTATTTAAGAATTCTTTTACGATGTCAAGTTTTTTGACATACATGAAATCCCTTAATTACTAGGCTTGTTCGGTCAAGATGGGTCTGGGATATTTGCGAAGTTTACCATTTTTTTATTTTATTTATTTTTTTTGTTTTTTGTTTTGTTTTTCTTGGTATAAGATCACTTCCTCTCCGTGATCTGAAACCATCTCTGGTCACTCAGCAAGTCAACGTGAACAGCTTTTAAATTCGTTTTCATTTTACTTTCCTTGGTGTAGCCTTCGTTAACTTGACAGCCACTATATATGGCCTCATACATGTTCAGAAAATCATAGACACACAAATGACACTTACAATCCCGAAGATTGTTCATCTAAAAATCGTAGTCTTAACTCATCCGAAGTTTCGCTTGGATCTACTTTACTCGTTTAGCTTTTACTTAACAAAAATAAACAAACTGACAAACTGTTGCAATTTTTCTTTAGGCTTCCGCAAAATTACCAAGAAACCTTCGTTGTAAGAAATATAATCGCTTGGAATAGCATGTTTATTTCGGAAGTTATGTCATTCTCAAGAAGGGCATGAAACCTTGAATTATGCAAGAGGTAAAATGAATCAATCCGTGAGAATCATACTTACCTTGTTTCAGACTGTTCAATATTTTTAGGATCTTCATAGTTATTTTCATTTCAGGTGTGCTTTGGTTTTTTCTACACAGCCCATCAGGCTCTCAGAACCAAGTTCACTTTACTTGTCTCACGCAAGTTAAAAACTAAATCCCAAAAGCCACTGAGTGTTTTAAAAGCGTATAACTTTTTTGGTAAAGCTTAAAACTGAATGGTAAATCAATAGAAAACCTGTACTTGAATAAGCTTTGCGTTGGAAAAGTCTCGAGTTTTCCTTTTTTGCTTCTTTTGTTTCCTTTTACAGATTTCCTTGTACAGTTCAACTTTCCTTCGCTTATTTTGCAGGGAGTTTGTTTCTTGTGATTTTGCGCGGGAAAATTTGCGTGAGTCCCTCGCGCATGCCCGACCTTTAACCGCTGTTTATATTGTGTTTCATATAAATGATTTGAGGTCATTAAAGTGGGGCGTTATATTTCACAAAGTCCTCTCTTGATCTCATGCAACGCTGCTCATTCAACGGAAAGTGGCCAGTTTTCAATATTTCTTTTTTATTTCTTTCTTTAAAATTTTCGACGATATTCTTCTCAGTTGATTTTTTTTTCGAGTGTGGCGGTTGCGCAACCCTTCCATTTTTCACCATTTTTTCGATCAATCCGTAACCAGTAACGAAATAAAACAATGCTGACAATACTCCTTGAAGTATTTTTGCAGTAAAGGATGGTCTATTTCTTTTGCAAGATGCTTCCTTCACTCAATGAAGAATGGTCTTCCAATAGACGATAGACGCTCAATATTATTTATCGATAATTATCCCACCATGCGCCAAAGATGTCTAATTTCAGTGTAACATACTACCACATACACTTTAATCCGCTGTAAATCGTGGGCGTTAAATAAATCGACAAAAACAATATGGCGGCGATAGCGGGAAGTGGTCACGATGTAACGTATCTCGGACTTTTGGGCCTAGCAGAAACATTCAGAACGTCTGACCCACCTAAGATAAGACAATGTATACAGTGCCTTCAATCTGTATTTCAATTTCAACCGTCATCAGCAATCCAGGCTGAAACGCATGTACAACTTGGAAGGCTTCTTCATTCGCATACGAAAAATATAGACATGGCCCGGTCACATTTGGAAAAGGCGGTGAGTTTAATTTCTATTGAGTAAGAGAGCTGGTAGTAGTATTATTTTGTTTAATTATGTAATTGATCTTAAACTGATCGCCTTGTGGAAGTCCGATGATTGAAAATTCATCGGAAAGTGTGATAACTTTGCCGTAACCGTAGCTTCACAGGTTTCACTGGTTAGCATTGTTGCTTCATCGGTTCTATCATATTTTGACTTCTAACATTTTTTCGCTCAACAGGTCGTTCTAGCTCAATCTGTATCCTTTTCAATTCACATGCTGGTGAAATTCTATGCAAAATGTGTGGTGAAAGAGTCCTAGTAAAATTCACCAGGTTTGAAATAGAGTAAATAAAATTACATAAACGATTGTCCACAAGATTACAGCATTTCTTTACTTAACTCAGAGTCAGCTGGGAATTGGTTATGAAGAAATTCGGTTGGAAGCCATGTCCGTTTTGACAGAAATTTATAAAGAACAGGTACATTTACTGAGTAGATGTTTATGATAGTTATTGGAGTGATATTTATGATTACATCGACAAGGTTATACAACCCAATTTGTTAATAATTGTTTAAGGGCCTAGTAATTTAATACCATGGCATTGATTATGTTTTTTAAACAGTGAGTTCACTTTTAAACATTAATTTTCAGAGCCAGTATCAACTAGCAAAGTCTACTCTGCGGCAGGCTCTAGAGGTTGCCCATGCCAGCATTTTGCCTTTTTGGCAATTCAAGATCACTTTCCAGTTAGCTGTAAGTTTTGTGATAGGCTGAAATATTATGAATGGCTACTCTGTCACAAAAGGAAATAACATGTATGTCTGTATATTTATGAAGTTACATGACCTGTGTGTGGTAGCAAAAATATTTTTATGTTGACACATAGTTCTTTGAGCTTGGCTGGAGAAACCAGGGCTGGAAATGCATCTTTTGTAGCATGGAAATTAGCAAACTAGTTTTTCAGACATGGAAGTGCTAAGAGATAAATATTTAAAAGTATAGGGAAAAGTGAAGAAAAGTCTTCATCTGGAGCTGCAGTAAGTGCTTACTGCAATTTCACAATGAATTGCTTGTTAGTTTGCCATATTTTGTGTGAATTGTTCACAATCTAAAATGGTGTGTTAGTCATTCCACTTTTATATTAAGAGAATTAAGTGTACTTGATTATGGCATTAATATTGTCCATGTACTGAACCCTTTGACTTCCATGAGTGAACAAGACAGAGTTTCTCCTTACAATATCAATATAATGTTAACCAGATAAGTGATGAGAATAAAGAAAAATATCAATTTGGGGATAATTATTTGATTCGATACTAAATTTTCTGAACTAACATTATAAGAATCATACAGTTGACAATAAGGAGAATTAACAATTTGATATGGGAGTTAAAGGGTTAATAGATTAATTATAACTTCTATTAATCCATTAATTCCCAGAAATGATAAACCAGTAACTTCTCCCTACAATATCCATGCAATATCCAGCAAACAGGTAATGAGAATACTCAAATGTGTCAGGTAGAAGTTGTTTTCTCATTCCATTCAAACAACAAATTCTTGTCACTAATTCACAAGGAAATGTGTAGCAGCTAGAGGGGAGAATTAACAATCAAATCTTGGGAGTTAAAGGTTTAAGAGTTACTCTGCAACAAAGCTTGCAGTGTAATATCATGGGTACATTTTTAGTCTTAAAAAGAAGTAATTTGAATTTTGCAGAGAATTTATTACTGGAAATATAATTGTTGATTTATTTCAGGATGTGCATGCGAATGACAAAGAGCTGAAGGCTGCAACAGAAGTCCTGGAAATGGGAGAGAGATTTGCAGAACAGTGTTGTTCACATTACATGAAGTGAGAAATTTGCATTACATGCTCTAATTGGTAGGAATAAAGGAATTACATGAAATCTATCAATAAATTGTTTTTCTTTCGGTCATTTTGGTTAAACGGAATGGTTATGTGTCAGTACATGTAGATTACATAATTTATTTTCATAGTTTTGTTATGGTTCATCATTTCAGATGACACTTGTTTAAATCATGTAAATTAAACTCCACTGCATGCACTTAGTTAAAAATTTTCAATTGGAAATTAGAATTTGAATGAACTGATTTTGATCATTTTGTTTCAGGTGTCTTTTTGCATTGAGCAGAGCTATGGTATGATTCTCATAACTTACTTTTTCCAATTGTAGAATAATTTCAGATGTGGTTTACTTGTTGATTTTAAAGTAAAGGCAGAAGATGCAAGAATGCATTCCTTAACTTTTGATATCTAATTTTCTTGGAATCTTTTCCTTTTGTAAGGAAAAATAAAGGTAATGTTACTGTCAAACACAGAAACCCATAAACTTGTAAAGTAATGAGCTGTGATGGGGTTTCAGCAAAGGTGGAGAAGGGAAGGCTCACGGAGCATTCACCAGTGCTGTTTCTCAATTAATAATGTATATGAAAAAAGTTATGTACATCTGATTGGCTGAAAACATGTGCTTTTTCATGTAACATGAGTGCAAATTACAGATAGCGTACATGCTCTGCCAAAATTTCATCCATCTTGACTTTCTGTGATGGGTTTTTCATGTTAATTACTAACAAGTAACAACATGATTTTGAGTGCAATTTGGTGCAAATAAACACTTGTAAATTTTTCAAAGACTACAAATCATGTTACTTATTACCTATATTTGCTTTGCTACCTTGCTTGTACTTCATCTACCTCCCTCCTTTGGGTATTTTGGGTCAGTAATCATTCCACACACTGTTTTGTTGGTGTTTGCTGACAGGGGCTCAAAACAAATATTGCTGCTAAAAATATTGCTGTAATCCTCTGTTGCTACCCTGACAGTATCTACCCTCCAAGACAATTGACTCAATGTTTGAATAATTTCTTTTGCTCTTTTTCAAATCAGGGCAACTGTTGGTGAGCTCTGTATACAGTATACTGTGTAATCTCACTATTGACGATGTATCTTTGCATTTGTCTTTCAATAGGCATTTATGATGATTAAAGAATTGAATCATGCAACTTCCATCTTGTCCATGATTGCAAGTGTTTTGGAACGATGGAACATTTCAAATTACCAGCGAGAATCAATCCATGTGTTTTACTTATTGTTAAGAGTGTGGACCTTTTTAAAACTTGGACAGGTAAAAATGTACACTTCTGCATATTGTTGTAGTCCTTTCTCCCTTATGGAAAGGTACACACTTATATGGTGTATTAATGCAACAGTTTTTGATGATTGAAATTAATATTTTTTGCAGTTAGCATGATCAAAGTTACATTTTTTATTATTTTACCACCACTTTCAGTGTTAATAAAAAATAAAAAAAATTGTGTCTACTTGTGAAAAAGACTGAGATTGCAATCATTTGCCATATTCATTCTTTTTACAGGCAAAGAGTGTTCGACCACATTTAAAGCAACTGCAACAATCAATACAACTTTTGACAACTCTCAGTTTGGATGGTATGTTTACTTTAATTTAATATGATTTTGTAGGTAAAGTCACTGGTGTCTACATTTTTTTTTTGTGCCACTGACTTCTATTACTTTGTTATAAACTGGTAGTACAACATTGTTAACATTCTAATGATCTGCTTATTGTTAGAGTCAAAATCAATTAGAACTTTTTTGTGGAAAAGATTTATTTCATCTAGTTTAACATGCATAATTTTTCCGGTGGGAAGAAGTTACTAGGGGACAGGTGACTGATTAGGAAAAGTGGAAAACAACAAAGATGGCATCAAAACTCATCTAACTATATATGTAAATAGAGTCAGTGCTTGATTTAACTTTCAATTGCCTTTTTGATTTTATTTTTGCAGAATCACAAATCCATGAGGCAGAACGCTTTGAATGGCTCACTAAAGAACATCTTTGTGTTCTGGTTTATTTGGTAAGAGTCTAATATCCATCTCATTTGTGAGACATAGTTTAATACTCGATGTAACACCAGTATAAATAACAAAGAGATTGAACTGTCTTGTGCAGTTTTTAGCATTGATTATCTAACCTTTTATACCTGAACATCAAAATGCAAGTTCTCATTATTCTTCTCTATACATTTGCTATGGTCCTCACAAGAAGAAATTTGTCTAACAATAAGAGCCTCTTGAGTTTTTGATCATTTCCTTTATTCTCCAGACCTTAATGTTCATTTTTGAAGAGATACTGTTGGGAGAAATAAGATGCTTATCAGTCTTGGGGGTTTCAGGATTAAATTAAACAATGTATGGTAGTTAGCAAACTTAAGTAAGGATAAATCCCTTTTTATTGAATACATTGTGTTCCTTGGACTCTCTGTTCCTTTTACTGTAAAAAAATTTAATAGAGAAACAGAAAGAACATTGTAAAAAAATGTTGTAGCAAATTTGTTATTTTCTTGATTTTTTTTCTTGTATTTTTCCTACACATTAATTTGCATTTATTCTTTTCATTTTTTCACACATCATTTCTTCACCATTATTTGTGGTTTAGGTAAACTATGCTGCCTTTTACATTTCATGTTTCATGCCCCTTTTAGTGGTGTGTTTTATTTTTGCTCTATGTAAACCTATTCCCTGTGAGTGTTTTTGTGTTTTGTAAATTTCCTCAGCATTTGGAATTTACTTCTTCTTCACATGCACCTTGCAGAATAGTAAATCAAATGCAGAGTAAACTGAAAGGGTTTAATTGAAGTGGGCCCTTGTCTCTGCATAGAATATAGAAAGGAAATACTTAACCTTTGAGTCTGCACTATAACACTGTGAATAACTTTTTACTCTTTATAACTGCATTGTTGAAATATTCAAGGTAACTGTAATGCACTCCATGTATTCGGGGTCTATGGAAAAGGCAATCAAATACAGTGAGAAGGCTCTCCTTCAAGTGCAAAGGTTAAAAGGTGAGCATGTTTTTCAATTTCAGATGTATTATTATTGTAACTGTTGTACATGCATGTTAACATGCATTGATGTACATGTACATGTACGTGTAGTTATAAGTTGACTTTGAAAGAGAAAAGAAGACTTTTTTACATTCAGTTGATACTCTGGGTTAGGATCTCCTTGACATCTGCCATAGATGTATTTACTGTGGCTGTAAGGTTCTTAATGAACAAACTTCACTAAACAGACAATTAGTGAAGTTTGTGCTCCTAACAAACAGTTAGGAGCACAAAGATCTAACTTTGGAATTACTCTAAATTTTCTTGTACAAATCCTTAGAGTTTCTGATTCAAAGAATGTCTTATAATGTATACGTCAGTAGATGTCAATGTTTTGAAGGATCTTGTGGAAGAGTTAAATGTTTTTTTGTGTGTTACTGTCTACAGCTGCTGAACCAATCTCTGGACTGTTATCAACTTTTAAACTGGTGCTTCTAGAACACATGATTCTTTGTAGAATGGTGCAAGGACAGATGCCACAAGCTATAAAAGAGGTTCATTTTGCTATCTCTGTTCTATTTGCAATAATTTTTTAATGATTGCTATTGCATGAATAGCCTGTCCTAGGCATTCAGTTAATAAAACAGAGCCTGATAACAGAAGGCAAAATTACAGTAGCGACAGAGCAAAAAAATGGGAAAAGTAATCCTTTTTTTTTTTTCATTTATTTAATATCATGTTCTGTTTTTCAAACTAAAGGCCAAGAAGATTTACTTGTGTTTATGTGTCAAACAATTTCTTTTTTGTGTTAAATTCAGCTCACCATAGATTTTGCATAAAAATTTGCCTGAGTGTATGTAAAATAATTGTACATTTTACTTACTCATTAGACTGATGTATTTACTGATTTACTGACTGACTGACGGAGTGATTGATCAACTGACTGACTGACATACCAACTGATTAATTGATTCTTTGATTTTTTTTGGTTTTAGATTTCACAAGTTTATCAAATTGCTCAACAAGATGGAAAGTTTTTAACAGCCCATCAATCTGTCATTCACACTCTTTTGGTACACTTAATGATGATCATTTATTGCCTTTTATCATTTTTATATTGTTACCAGTAAAGAATAAAGACTTTATAATCATGTTACTTTCTCTTTTCAGGGTTTATATGCAATGTCCATGAATCTTATGGATTCAGCAGTGGCACAATTCAATGTTGCCTTTGAGGTATGTACATGTATGTGCAGGGCTTCTTGAATGTAAGTTGACATTCTCCACTTAAAACTCAATTCTTTATTTTTGAAACTTTTGAGAATCAAGTTTTGGGGCTTGAGTTTCCTCTTTGGATTTTTCAAAGTTTTGAAGAACTTTTCAAACTTCAAGATTTTGATGATCAGCTGTGAGGAAACAGTTAATTTCATTTTAAAACAGTAGCTGTGAATTATATTTAACATGAAATATCATGATTGCTCTGAAGCTTGTATACATATGTGTAGCTTAATTAATTGTCATTCAGTGACAGCTCATAGTTATTGAAGATGTAGATATCAACTCAGGAGATGCTAGCTCAGTACTTTTACCTTTAGACCAGCAGAGAGCCAGAACTGAGAAATTTCATTGGTTTGAATATGGCAATTATCTACATTCGATCTGGAATGGGAGGAAATCAAAATATAAAGGTAGGGAAAGTAAAACAGAACTATTTTTTTTTCCTTTGGTGTTGATGACTGAAGTTGCTTCAAGGTATGAAGCCTTTGTTATATATTTTTTTCCGTTTTTTTCTCTCTCAGCTGAAAAGAAATGGTTAAATTTCCAAACACCCTTGATACATAATGAGTATCTTTAGGAATTTCTTACTTTGGTCATTTCTTACCAGATATGCTATGTTGATTAGATGTTATGAATTTTCTTTGCAGCTCCAAAATCTTTTAGCAAAGATAAGACCAGATCAGCTTCCTTCAGGGTAAAGACAAAATCATATGTTAAGTTTAATTTCAACAACCTTGAAATATGTGTTTTCAGTTTCACTGTTTTTCTTTGCATAGTTTTCTACTGAGTGCATTTAATTGCTGTAGCTTCAGTATTCTATTTTTTTTCCCTTTGTTTTGGAATTTTCATGTGTATTGTTTTGGAGTTCTCACATGTATTGTTACTGGTCCGGAACAAACCAAATGAATCACAAATGTAAAATAATTTTTATGAGGAATGGTTCAAAATAATGAGTTTCAAACCTTCAAATTCTTTGGACATGATGATCTTTATAGAAGTGAATAACTACTGTCGGTATTTTGTTGTCTCATGGTATGTAGTCATTACCGGTAAATTGTATTGATTACATTGTTTTGACTGCTCTACTATCAGCAAAACATTGCAATGGACAATATTGATGTTGGCTCTACATTGCAAAAGTTATAACCTTGATCTGTGTAACAGAGATGAATACAAACACATCTTGTAAATCTATTATACTTGCTTGTAGTTTTTTTTTTTCTTTTTTTTTTACTTTGAACATCCATTAATTTTGTTATTAGGGAGTAATTTGTGTGAAAAAGAAACCATGGCATCATGAATTTAAGACTGGAAATTGCAATCCATTTTTTTTTTTTTTAATTATAAGAACTTGTTTAGTTCAAAATGAATTGTATATTGGTATGTTTTTTTATTGTTTTGATTTTTCTCATGCCAAGGTCATACAGTCACCAGGCAGGTTACTACTATATCAGAGGATTACAATCATTCTTTGATTCACATTTCATGGATGCCAAGTATGTTTATGGTGTAAATCATTATGTTATGTTGCAATTCTTTTCCTCTTATTTTTCATATGTTGTAATTTTTTAGCAGGTGAATTTACGAGACAACTCAGATTTCTCATGATAGTTTTGTTATTTGCAATTTTTTTGACAGAAAATACCTGCGTGAAACTTTAAAGATGGCAAATTCTGAAGATCTCAACAGACTAACAGCTTGTTCATTGGTCTTGCTAGGAAGCACATTTTTATCTCAAGGGATTACCCAGGTTGTGCATTGTTTGTTTGTTTGCTTGTTTTTTAATTTTGTTTTGTTTTTATTTTATTATTACATGTATGATGATGATCATCTTCATCATTATGTATACATTTATTTATTCATTCACTTGTTTATTTTTGACATATTTATTCACTTAATATTTATTTACTAATTGTAGGAGGCCCTTGACATGGCTTTGCCTGCAAATCAACTGGCTGGCCGTATACCAGACTCTTACATAAATATGTGGGCTGCATCACTTCTGAGAGGTCAGTGAAATAATCAAGTTGATAATATACGTAAAAAAATTATGCACGTCTGTTTGGCTGAAAACTAGTGCATTTTTTTCATGTAACACAAGTGCAAAGTTATAACACAAGTCCAAAGTTGTAACATGAGTGCAAAGTAGTAACATGAGTGCAAATTGCAAAAAGCATGCCTGCACTGCCAAAATTTTATCTGTCTTGACTTTCTGTGATGTATTTTTCATGTTAAATATTAACAAGTAACTAAATGATTTTATATGGAATGTGGTGTAAATAAGCACTTATAAAATTTTCAAAGACTACAAATTGCACTTGGTGAAGCAATTTTGTTATCTTTGCCAATTTACTTGTGCTCATTAGCACCAAATTACACAGTTTGAAATCATGTTGTTACCTATACATGTGCTACATGTAATTGAAATTTAAAGACAATTTGATCGAGGTATTATTAAACAAATACATGTACATGTAGATCTGCTTAAAGGTGTGCAAAGGAGTTAGTTTTACATTATTATAGGGTGATGAATGGAGTTCTGGTAGAGCCTTCTATGTGATGGTTGTTAGATCTCACATAGGGTTTTTGGTGATCTTTATCCTTATGGGAGGGGGTAGGGAAGGGGCAGGCAAGGGCAGGGAGGGGCAGGCTTGAAGAATAACAAAATGGCCTTAATGCCCTTGATACATTCAAAAAATGGGAAAATTGTTGGCAAGGTATGTTTTCTGTCTAGAAGTACAGCAGCACATGTTCTTAAAACTTGCGTGGAGGGCTTTATATTGGGTTATAATGATTTGTTATCATCAGATCTGTATGGAATCATGGGTGACCCTGTTTCTGCCAGTGAATACTATCAGCTACACAATAGCCTTACCAAGCAATTGTTGGAAAGTAAGTAATTGTCTAATAATGCCGTTGATTGTGTTGAATTGTACTCTTTGTGTTAGTAAAATACACTGTTTCAAGTTAATTGTGATTCTCAAAGACACATAAATGATTTTAAAACTTGATATCAAGGCCTGTACTGATCAGAATGTCATCAGTATTATTGAACAATATGGTCAATTATCAATGATGTTTTGATATTTTAGTATTCAAAATAATTTGTTAAACTTTACATAGCTGCTAGATTATGATCCCTTGTGGTAATTTATAATATAAAGTGAAAGTTCTTGCTTGTTTCTCATGGATGGACTGAAATTTTTTATTGCTTGTCTGTGAAGTGCAAATAGTACTTTGTTTTGTTCAGGGGTAAGTTTAAGTTTTAAATTTGCATTTTATCTCTTTCTCTCAGGTCATATGCAAGCTGGTCAGATGCCAGAGCACAGACTTACTGAGGTTCAGTGGAATGATTTCCTTCATTGATAACAACATTTATTTGATTAAATGAATGATGTGTTGTGAGTACTAAGTAAACAGACAAGTAAGCAGAAGTGAGGCACACATATCCATACACTTGTAAATTTGTGGGCTCACTAGCAGGTGATGCACATGATTGATTTGAATGCAGGTGGCATTTTTTTATTGTTGGGCAGTTTTAAGGATTTTTTTGTGCAAGAGAACACTATCATGTTGCTGTTTTGGTGGTGTTTTCTCAGATTACTTCTCAAAGTGCATTTTCTCAAATGCTTACAATTTGTTCAGTTTTCTAACTTGTATGTGTATTGTATTACCTTATAGTGGCTTGGTGGTATCAGCCCTTCAAGACAATCTGCAACCAAGCAGACAACAGGTTTGCTAACAACCTTTCCTCAAGCTGGGCCTAGTAGCATGATGTAACATCCTTGGATCTGGACTTGTCTCAAATGAGAGAACAGTTGATTGGTGCATTGTGATAAAATTTCATTACTTATCCACACTGAAAATATATAGCAATACTATAGAAACATAGACATATGTGTATGTTCATACATGTAAATGTTTTCAAATACCCTTTTCCAGATTCCAAATGGTGGGATGGTTATCATCATCAAATGTTTATCTTGAATAGTTTTCATTGGCATCTCTTTATAAATGGTGACATCCTTAGTATGACAGTTTGAGTTTTTCAAGACGATTCTAATTTTATGACTCAATTTGTTCACCTATCCATGAATCTGTATATTACTTGTGAGATCCAAGCATTTCTACATTGTTTTCAACAATGGTGTCATGAAAAACTGCAGACCATAGGATAACCAAGAAACAACTACTTTACTCTGTCTGACAGTGGCATTAAAAGGATTGTTGTCACCATATACAAACACTTCATAATGCACAAAGCATTGATGGACTTTTTTCATGAAGACTTCTCTCATTAATTTTCATAAATATTTTTTTAATTTGAGCACAAGTACAAAATAATTTAATTTGAGAGAATATGTAAATATGTACATAAATATATACCTAATTTATGAATAGTCTTTCTATTACTTAAAATCAAAATCAATCTGAATTGTCAAAGCTAGTAATGAAATCCAAACATGCGCATGCAATAAGCTAGTGAAAGAGTAACTTTTTCATGTACTATTAGTTTTCACCAATTTGCTGCTTGCCATTACAGGAAGTGAATATCACTGAAGGTTGGTCCACCTAAAGTGAGCAAGTCCCCTCTTTTCCTCCAAACCCCTTCCCTTAGCCTTTGCTGTAAATGTAGTTCCTGAACCAATTTTTTTGTGCAACAGGTCTTTTCTCATCTTTTGCCCAAAAACTGGAACAGGGACTCCTTGCATATTGAAAGTTTTTTTTTAAATTAAGAATGGGGAAGTCCAAAGGATTTGTTCTTCATAGTTATTTTAGTTCCCTTCAAACTGATGAATCACCCTGTGTACAACAAGTTTAAAGTTGTTGATAATTTCTGTCAGTCAGGATTTTATTTTACACACCCTAGTAGACAATTATGAAAGAATCTGTATGTTTACACTGTGTTTAGTGCCATCCTTCAGTTATGTTTGCCAATAAAAATTGTAAAGCAAATTTCAGTTAAGAATCAGTGAAATTGCCTCCCAAGCAATGTAATGGTATAGCTCTAAGACAAAAATGAGAAGGGTTTTACTGAAATAATCACTGAATTAGCCAAGCTGCACATTATCAGCAGTACTGGTAATTTTATAAAAATGCTGTAGCAAGTGAGATGGCTCCTCCCATAAGCTTGGGGGGTGGGACTTTAGGTCTTCTCATGAAATATTATTATCATGCTGTAAATGTATTTATTATTATAGTTAAAGAGGCAAATAAAATTATGATGATGAAGTGTTCCTGAAGTTGTTCTTATCTTATAGGACAGGTGTCTCAACAAACCCTTAACACCCTAACATCAGCATGCATATTCTCTATACTGTTCTCTATACATTTCTTAAGGTGCTGACAAGGAGAATTTGTTTAACTCATTAACTCCCATCAGTGACCAAAGCAGAATTTCTCCTTACAATATAAAGTACACAGGTAATAAGAACAAAGGAAAATGTCAATTAGGAGATTATTAGTTGATTATTAGTTGATCCAATATCAAATTATCTGAACTCACATTATCAGAATTTGTATGGCAGAAAGTAAGGAGAAATACAAATGAGATCTTGAGAGTGACAGGGTTAACAATCAAACAATCAAGAGCTCTCCAGTTGGTGATCATTTCCTTTATCATTATGACCTTAATGTGATTCAGAGGTGACATTCTAAGCAGGATTTAGATGCGAGTCACTCTCAGGGGTCAAAGGTGTAATTTGTAAGTTATTTAAAGGTGTTCTGCTGTCCTCATTCCTCAGGCAACCTGACATTTCCAGGAAAATAAGGAATTCATCAATTACAATTTGTGTTCTTCAACTTTAATGAGATAGTAGCATTTCTCAACCGAGATTGTTAACAGCAACCATATTGATTGATTTTATAATGTAGTTTTACTCTCTGTAATCATCTGTTCTGAGGAGTTCAAATTCTTTACTGAATATTTTGTAAATTATTTTTTCAATGATAATTATCAGCATTTGTATTTAGTATACAATTAAATTTTGCATAATGTATTACCTTACTTCCTGAGATCTCAGTTTTTGATATGAATCACTGCTTTGTATTGATAAGTCTAGCAATTGTCTGATACTTCTCAAAATTCTCACTTTCAAAAGATTTTGCTTTTCATTTAGATAAATCTATTGTTGGCAATATTGCTTATTCTCCATAGGGTTTCATGTTGTATAAAGGTGACCTTAGGGAAAGCTAGTCCAAATAGAAAAGACAGCTGTTTATTTTTTCCTTTAAAAGCCCCAAAAAGAGAGCTATGTTTTATAATTGATTTTTGCCACAAGATCTGTTATACCTTATCAGGTTTTATCTGATGAAAATCGATGCAGTTTATAAGGTTTATGGTTGTTATCTCGAATTTCTATTTATTTTGTATTAATGTATTCTTATCTCTCTTCTGCCTGAATGTTTTGTCCGGTGCATTTTACGTTTTTGTTTCGATCAAGGTGAAAATGTTTACTCCCGTGATCACTTAGAAACAACTTATTTTCGTTACTTTAAAGTTATGATCAATCAATTTAAAGAAAACGTTTTAAAGGTCAGGAAACCTCTGATGTAGTTATATATTTCAACGTTCTTTGACAATTTTATGAAAATAGTAAATATATATTTCGTTATCTCTTTTTTTTCTCTGTCGTACTACAGTATCTTTTCCTCGCAATGTTCCGAATCTTCAAAAGAGAAAGGTGACTCTGCACTTGACATTTAGTAACAAAAATTTAAAAAAAACGCTGTGTTTGCGAATTTCACTGATTTCCGTGACTTGGCTGAACTTAAAATCGAATGGCTTTAGGAAGGCTTCGCAACATTCAAAAGTACAAAAATATTTGGAGACAGTTACGAAGGCGTGAATTTTCGAACGTTTACTGAATGTGCTATATTTGGATTGACATTTCAAATTTAATACGGAAAGCCATATCATTTACAAATCCCAAACAAAAGTAATTGAAATTGACAAGCATTGTTGTTTTTAGTGGTTAAGTATCCAATGAACATTCACTGATCAATCGTGCGTATAATGACTTATTGAAAGCAAACAATTGCATATTGACAACGTTCTCTGGTCCTCGCATAAATTAAGTTTTCGAATTCCACGGAGAGTTTATACATGTGACGTGAAAGTACATCTCGTGCGACAGTACAGTTTACTGAGGGATACAAGTCTTTCGTTTTGAGAAACAATTGAAGCATTTCGAAAATCCTCACCTGTCAATTGACAAAATTGACCGGCTCGTCTTTTTCCGGGTCACTTACCGTGCAATTTTCCTGCATTTGTAACAAAATTTTGACATTCACCAAGTTTTCACAAAAATGTGTACAACCACTTTAAATCATGTAGTAGCAATACCGAAGGCTGCAGAAGGGTACAATTTGGCTGGGGTTGGGTGCAAAGAATCTACCAAGTTGGGATGGCCCATGTACACCCCTCATGATCATGAACACTGAAGCTTTTTATTTCAAAGGGGAATCACCCTTTCTAAAGTAAGTGATGAGTTTTCTGTGATGAAAACGACAAGTAGTACCATCTGGGCTGCCAGGGGTGCAGCACCTCTTTCCTGCATCATTGCCAAGTGGTAACAGTTCAACTACTTCGGTACTTTTTGTTTGTGGCAAGGCGAGGAAAGATTACTGATTGTTTATCGAGTCTTTTACTGCCTGCCGCCAATTACCCAACGGCATCCAACCAATCACAAGGTGTTATCATAAGTGGATTAGTAAACGTCACGAGTACTGCCAATAACACCTGCACATAAACTTGTCAAACCGGTTTGACCACTTTCCCGGATGTCAAGTCCATTACGTCATCCCTTTACTGTACAGCTTCGTCGCCCAGGCAACAAGAAGATCTGATAGCGTTTTCCAGAATTTGATTGGTCTATTTAGCAGCTGATTGACAGGTTGTCGTTTCAACGCAGCGGGTGTGGGAGCCGACTCTTTGTGCACACGTCTATCAGAAGGTTGTGTGGCGTTTGATTTCATGTTCCCGCCCCTGCCTCTGTTGCTTGAAAATCCCAAATACTTTTCTGCTCGCCAAGAGGAAATCAAGAAAGGCTTTCGGTGTCACTTTCGAGTATTAAGTCCCACGAGGATTCACAGTTTATTTTATAACCATATTCAGCCGGGCAAGGGCGCAATTCAATATAATTCAACGAACGACTAACCTTCAATTCACCGCCATTGTATGTGTCGTGTCCGCTGTTGCAAAACACCACATGGCTTTCGAATGAAAGGAACTCCGTTTTCAGTTGGTCTCTGAAGTTCGTGAATTATCTTTACAGCCTTCCTCGACGAAGAAAGGTCCACCAAGTAACCACAAATCGAAGAACGGAAACAGAAACTGCTCGAGCAATCTACTGTCGCTGTTCAATGCAGACTGAATAATCACTTTTTTTACCATTCGCTGCACAAATTATAATTTTGTGCCAGCCTCGTCCTCGAGTCGGTCACGTTCAACTGGACGAATAGAGCTTCCTATCTTGTGAATGTGGAGTTTTGTTCTTAAAATACCTCAACAGAGAACAAGGTATTTTTGGTTTGAATTATTTTCACCATCGCCAGTGGAATAGCGGCGAAAAATTTTACAGATTGAGCGGCGGGTGTCTCTTCCGTTACAAGTAGCTCGTGTCGTGTCGGCCATATTGCATTGGCGCCAAATTCTTATTACTCTGAGAAATACCGCAAACGAAGGACCATATTTTGGTCATTATGGTTTTTGGTCATGGTTATTTTTCAGCATTTTTGTATTTAAAGTATTTGGCTTCACTTTTTATCGGTAGGTAAAGAAATCTACAACGTAGGCTGTCACGCGGGGAAAGCCGCTGTTTCTACATTTTGCCGGCAAATTTATGGGAGATCACTGTCTTTGTTATGATTCAAAATTCTATGTGAGTTCTGTCGAATCGTAAAATTTCCAAGATAACCTCTAACTTGGAAATATCTTGTATAAATAGGGATGGCATCACAAGCTGTATCAAAGGGTTCCAAGCGAATAAAATTATCGCCAAACTCCGATGAGAAAGATGATGTAAACAGTTGTACTACTGGCGAACAGGGTCAATCATCAGTTGACATGGCTTTGGATAAAAAAACAGTCGAATCCAGCGACGAGCAAAACTCAAAGTGAGTAAAATTTATTCTTCCCTCAAAAATAATACTGTGGAACAATTTGATGTTCCTTGAAATCGAATTGAGGAATCTAACGCTATGATGATGAGGAAATGTGGTTTGCACGATCTTACCGGTATACACGTGTTGTAATGAAAAGGTGTCTTGTCGAATACTTGATGAATTTTTTTTGATTTGCTGTCGAATGTATGGCTTCATAATTCCTTTGCTTAATGAACATCTTCCACTCGAGTTCGTCTTTGTGCTGCCTTAATCTTAACGTCACACCTGCAACACGAGCCAACATACTGAGTAATTCCTTTAATCGCGTCTTGACAAAGCCTTTTTCTTAAGAATATTAAAGATCGACCCTTGCTGTGGATAGTTATATCTTCTGTCATGTCATTTTTCATTTAAGGATGGAACACGTAGGAACGGAATTTGAAATAGAAATCTCTTATCGTTTCAGATTAATCGTGCTCTACTCATTTATAAAATTTAAAAGGGTTTCAAGTCGTTTCCTTTCAAAGATCCTCATCTCGGTGGTCTTTTGTCTTTTTAAAATGCTTGTCTGAATTTCTGAGTCATTCATCACATCCTGAAAAGATGATTCGTTTTCCGTTAAATTACAGTGTTAAAGCATAAAAAACAGATGCCAGTCTTGTCCAATGTCAATTAATTGTGCATCACATCACAGCTTTTCTTGCATGTTCCTCGCATTTTTCTTTTTGAGGGACTTTGTAAAGTTTCAAATACATGTAGAATTCATTTTCTCTGGCTTCTAATCTCTCACCAAAACCACGTTCCAGTTATCAGTGGTTACAGTTTGGTTGTTGCTAGAGTTAACCACTATACTCAATCTTTTCTGTGCTCCAAATAGATAATTGAAAGTTTCAAATTTGACACAGCCATATGTAACTGGTCTCTATTAAATAGCTCATAGATAATGTTTTGGGTTCGAATGTTAGATGAAAGTAGTGTAGTCTACAATTAGGAAAAAGAAATGCTTAGTTTGATAACTCAGAATTTGGGTATTTTTATTTATCTTTATTTTTAAGCTCTCATTTGTACATCAGTTCATAATTTCTTGCTCCTGTAATGGCTTTGCCAGTGATGTTACTTGTTGAATGTTAGGGTACCATATGTCAAACTATGAACTGAACTGTTAATTTTCAAGGCTGTGTTTGATTGTTTGAACTCAACTTAGTCTAAAGTTCCAAAGGGCTTTAGGTTCAGGTATCTTTGTTATTGTACAACTGTGTACTTATGCCACTGAGCAACTACTACAAGTTGAAGTAAGAGATTATATTCATATATATTCTCAATGTTCTGTTACATTTACCTTTTTTGGACCTTTTTGTCATGCATGTATGTGTTTTGAGATCTTTGCACTAGTTAATACAAAATTATCTTCCGTGACTTTGTGTTGAGAACCTCACTTGTAACCCTCACTTGTAATTCAATGAAAGCTTTAATATCAAAACCACAAACATGATATTTTGCAAGGAATTTTGCTTTGAACTATGAAAATTTGTATAGAAGTAAAGCTGAGTGAAAATTTATTTGGAACACTATGAACTAAATGAATCTTAAACTAGTACTTAAATTAGCCAGTTGGTGAGGAAACTGAGCAAATTCTAAAGTAACCCCTTAGATAAAAAGAAGTAGTTTAACAAAGAACAGATTTGTGTAGTGAGCTTTATGAAGGACTTGTGCTAATATTAGCCCATGGACTTCAATATTTTGGAGCCTTTTAAGAAGGATAACTATCAGCATGCTAAACAGCTAGTTTGAATTTTTAAATATATGCTCATCCATGCAAAAATGGTACTGTTTTCTTTTGGCAGGTCAACAAAGAAAGACAGTGAACTAGTTGTAATATCATCTTCGTCATCTGATGATGATTCAGACAAGGAACTTAAGACAGACACTGTGGAACCTGTTGTAAAAAAGGAGGAGGCAGAAACATTCCCTGATGTTGTAAAAAGCAAATTGCAAGTGAATCAAACAGAATCCCTTGAACAGGATTCTAAACAAATTAAGGTTGCTACAGAGCCAAAAGTAGAAAGGAAGGATTCAGACTTGGATGAGTGTATCTCCCAGGAGGATCTCCTAGCACAGTTGGGTTTGAGTTCTGTGAAAGAACTTAACAAAAAGGAGACAAGCAACATGGAGAATAGCACACCATCTGCAAATGCAAATGGGGTTGAGAGAAAACCTTTGATATCCCACAGAGCTAAGGAAAGTATCGTTGAATTCTTGAAAATACCAAAGTTATCTTCTTTGGACAGCAGGAAAAAGAACAATGGTGAGGTCAAGGGTGATGTCAAAATCACTAATGGTAATACTAGTGATGGCTCGAGGCCAGATTCCCCTCTGTCTGATGAAAATGATGATGATCTTCAAGCTAAAGAAAAATTGATTGCACACCTTAGAAATGAACTGAAGCAAGAAGAAGCCAAACTTCTCTTGTTGAAACAACTACATGCTGCACAAAATGATGTCAAAGGTAGCTCCAAATTTCAAAAAGAAAATGTGGAGAAGGTACAGACACAAGGAGCCTCTTCCCAACCTGTGAAGTCCTCTATGCAGCTTCCACCTAAAAAAGGTCAGAATCTTCCTCCCCCACCACCTTTGAAGGCCTCAACAGTACTAGCCACTTCTACTTTCCATCCACCCAGGGATGTTCCAGGACAGCCAAGGCTGCTTCCAAAAGGAAGTAGTAATGCTCAATCACAGTCCTCAAACTCTGGATCTTCAAAATTTTTAGGTCCTGCAGCCCAGACCCTGAAAGAGTTTGCAGTGCAGCAGTCCATTCATCAACATTCAACTCAGTCACATTCAAAACCTGGATCATCTGCAATTGCAGATCTGCAAAATGTTGTCACCTGCATGGCAAATCTAATTCAGCCTACTCCTCTGTACCCCCACAGTGGAGGCAGAGGCAGTCCAGCATATTCTGCAGCAAATCAGCCTGCCCCTGTCCGCCCTACCCCTGTCAGAGCCAACAATGTTAGCAGCCTCCCAGCCAGTAGTGGATATGTGTCATTTCAGCATCACTTGCCTAGTAGTTCTCATCAGCAAAGTCCAGGTGGGAAACAAGCTGCAGCCAAGATGGCACTACGAAAGCAGTTGGAAAGGACACTTCTTCAGATACCACCACCAAAGCCACCTCCTCCTGAATGGTCATTTATTCCAAGCCTTGGCAGCCAAGACTTCATGCTTTTGGTTGGGCTTGAGTCTGTGGTGGATGTTATGGCTGCTAAAGAAGCCAAGGGAAAACATAATGTTCCATTGCAAGAGCAATTGATAAACCCCAAAGTTTGTTCACGTTGTAACACAGACTTCTCACCTTCTTGGACAAATAAGCCGGGCAAGGACTCAGAGCTGGTAACTGTGTGTGAAAAGTGTAGCACTGTCAATGTGAAGAAAGAGCTTAAAGCAGAACACACTGCTCGTTTGAAGGCAGCATTCTTGAAAGCTCTTAAGCAGGAACAGGAGATTGAGCAAAAAATTAATGATACCCCTCAAATTGCACCTAAGCCTCATCACCAAAGTCAGAAGTCTTCTCCTCAGCCTCCTCTAGCACCTGCACCCCCACGTCACCACATTGCACATCACCAACCTATCATGCATCATCATCACCAACCAGTTCAACCAGCACTGTACCACCACCATCAGCCTCACACCAACTCACTGTTATTTCAACTGCAGCAACAGCACTTGCAGCAGCAACACCAGGAGTTGGAAGCTGCAGCGAGACAGCAAGCTGATGTCAGATGGCATCCATATATAAGTCAGCACCATCACTCTGGATCTCGCAACCCACAGCATCATCATAGCTATGTGTCAGACTCTGATAGACAATACTTGCTGGACATGATTCCTTCTTTGCCAACACCAACTCTTGGTTATGGCTCTAGTAGAATCTAGTGTATAGATTTAAAGGAGGTAATACCTGAGCCTTGTTGAATTGAAGCACCACTTTTCACAATATTCTTCTATACTTCCAGATATTGATCTTAGTAGAAACAGGTTTAGGCAAATAAGAGGACAATCAATGATTCCAGGGTAGATCACCAGTTGCGTATTTGATGGGAAGGTAGATGTTTTTCTTCTTTGACTTTGATACTGAGGTACTATCAAATTAGGTTTTGACATTCTCCAATATTTCACAGGGACTGAAAGCCTGGTACTTTCTCTCCAAATATATTAGTTCAGTTAATTCTGACTAGCTGTTTTTCAATGGTATGTGGATGGTGCTTCATTTAAGTAAGGCTCAAGTAAAGAAATAACTATTTAACATAGTAAATAAAAGAAACATGTATAAAATTATCTTTAATTATAGACTCTATCTTGAATTGACAATTTTTGTTCACCATCCTGCTTCCTAGAAATCTTTCAGTGCATTGTACTGCACAAAGAGCGATAAAATTTTTGTTTCCTGTGGAAGATGTCCAGCCCCCTAGAGTTACAAATCTTAGGTTTCAATGATGGAGCTCTACTTAAAGCAGTTAACAGCATCCCTTATTGTGCAAACAATTTCTATCTAGCATACATGTAAGTTTAGTCCTATTTACAACTTTGTTAGATATTAATGCCCATAGGAGTGTAAAGCCAGATAAACAACAGTTGGAGTAAAATCACAACTTTTTGCACAGCTTAAGGGTAGCTCTAATCAAGGTGGATTTGTTGGTCTGCTTAGGGAGGGTATAGGAAGGTGTGCAGGAGGGTGGATTCTTCTTTGGGCAGACTGCCCAAATTACTTCTGGGTGTAGCTGTACCAGGTATTTAGGCTGTATTCTGGGAAATAACCTCAAACTCTTCTTATTAGACAAATTGCTATTATATTTGAATCTTTCACTGAATATTCTATTTCCTGTCGATAAAAATATGGACATTTCAATTTATTTATTTATTATCAAAAGCAACTGCTTCAGAGATAACAAACTGTAGTATAAATAAAGTCTTAAAACTGTACTTTGTTCGTTAACTGGTGTTGCTAGAACGATTTGTGGTCCTGAAAGGGAATGAGCATTTAGTAGGATCGGAGACTATGGGGTACTTAGTTACTTGTGGAATCAATCACCGTTCTAGATCTTTGACCTTTCCACTCTCAATATCGCGATGAAAGTTCTCCCAACTGCTCGCCGTACATTTCTTGAAATTTCTGCTTTGAGAATTTGGTGTTGAATCGATTGATGTTCCCCCAATTAATATGCAAGCTATTCTCGCCACTTGTGCGTTCTTCTCTACTTTCTTTTCTTTTCTTTTTTTTTTTTTTAATTCTGAGGGAAGGGAAAACTTTTTTAAATTAGTGAAGCTATGGTTGCTCCCAACGCCCGATAGTTGAGGAATGTTTGTAAGCATGCAAGATTTCGCCAATAGCGCTAATGTCCCACGCTCTCGGCTGATGAGGGGTAATTTTCAAAACAGTAAGAAAAATGGTCGGCGGAATAATTACGGTCATTTAAATGAACAAAGAAACGTATGAACCTTGGAAAGGTGTTAAACGTAACTAACGCCAGGGACGGACATTTGCCTTTGGCTCATTTAAAGGAAGACTCTACTTAAAGCCTTTTCCTCAGAATAGTCTTCCCCAAGGAAGGCACTGCTCTCCGGCTGGCTTACGGTGGTCGGACCAGCTCGCTCCCTCTATGGACTCTTCATTAAAAACTTACAGCGCTCCTTTTTGGAGAGTTATGACCAAACATTCATTGAAATGGTAACTGTTAGAGTATCTGTGTAGGCAAGATAGTTTAGTATGACCGAGTCGATAACTTAAATTGACCACCGTAGAGTTGAGAAGGTGAGCCTTAGCCCCTCATAAGAGCGACAGGAAAAAAACGACCATGTTTTGCTACCTCGTGAGCGAAGCATTCATTCAGGTAGTCGTTTAACAAATTTCGGATACAACGTGCGTAGTCATTGATTGAAAGAGCGTGCTCTATGGGAGTTTAGAGCATAGACAGAGCGGCAAAATAAGTGCGCATGCATGTAACGCGCGGGAAAATTTACGCCCGAAGAGGAATGGGAATAACAATATTTCCATAGTAACACTTAGTAACACGATTGCAGCGATATGGCGGCATTTTTTAATTTCATATTGTTTGTTTTTATTTCGCGGGGATAAGCCTTAGCATCGAGAGATAGGGTTCCCATTTTCAGGAAAGTCTGTTTCGAACCTGCACTGCAACATATCTCTCCGAACGAAAAAAGGATTTTGGCCACAGGTGTTAATTTTAGCATTAAAGTTGAGCGTTCTTAACATGGCTACTAACTTCGTAGGCCCCTGTTATTATCATGGCACTTGTTTGTATCGCCTCTTCCGTAGGCAAACCGCCCAGCGAAAATGTTTATTGTCTGAGAGAAAAAAATACGCCATAGCTCTGCTCGTAGAGAAAGAATAATGGCCTTAAATACTGAAATGGTGGGACGAGGAAACGTTGTGTGTGAATTTCATTATCAGCAGTTACGAAAAACGACCAACATCTGATCGTGCCCGTTACCTTCGCATTCTTCCACTCTATGTGATACACCCATTACCACGAGACTGAAAAAAGTGAGGCTGGTTATCAAACAGGGGTACGGTGGTGCACAAGTTTTCGAAGAAACGCCAACAAAACATTTGCCACGAAAACCACTTATAAAAAGCCAGTAAGGAGAAAAACGTTAGATATATTCAAAGGCTGTCATCTCCTACTGCATATTCTAGGTTTACGAACTTCACCATTTACACAATAAACAATAACATAAATGATGACATTATTCTCACCCTGTTTGCACGTGAAAAATGGAGATGGAGTGCCATGCAAAATTCAGTTGGAGTGCCCGCAGACTCCATGGATGGTCAATGTGATTAACAAGCTGTGGCAGTTAAATGTATGCTCCAAAACTTACTGCATTACCACAATTCAATGGCTCAACAGAGAGTCAGGAAATTGGTGCACAGACTGGTCCACCCAATTTATCAACACCAACAATGGTAAGTACCATACCGTAAAATTCCGAAAATAAGCCCCGGGGCTTATATTTTTCAAAGGACCTTTTTGAGGGGCTTATTTTTTGTAAGGGACAGTATATTCGGAGGGGCTTATTATAGGAGGGAAATTTGCGTTTCAAAATTGGCTGGGCTGAAATTTGTGAAATTTGTGTCAAAATTTTTGAATGTGCAACTGGTAATATTAGGGTTTTGGCTAGAAATTCGTAACAAATTGATCACACTGAAAATGCCAAGTTCAAACACAATGACAATAACCTTTATTAGAGCGAAAATACAGTAAAAACGGTAACGTAGTTCTGGCTCAAAGTTCATAATTACTATGAAAGCTCATATCGTTCGAGGAGCACCAGAGGGAGTTTAGATTCAGGGTGGCGGGATCGAACTTCCTTGCAAATACTTTGTCTACGGACCGAAGAAATTCAAGGCGCGAGTGAAGAGAGAACTGCGTAAAAGACAATAAACTTCAACACTTGTTGACCACGTTGCTTTAGTGCACAGAATCATTCTTTTATGACTAAAAAAGGCTTCCTGATAATGGTGATGTGTGTAGTTTGCTTTGATTTGTTTAATTGAGGATAATTTCCAAATACAAGCCCCCGGGGGCTTATATTCGGAGGGGCTTATTATAGGAGGTATTTTTGCGTTTCAGATTTGGGGGGCTTCTAATCGGGGGGGCTTATACATGGAGAGGCTTATTTTCGGAATTTTACGGTACTTATACTTGGACATAATCTAAGAAAGGTAACCAATCCAATCATATTGCTAATTATCATAGTTCTGGTATGATTGCACAAGGAAGGTCAAACATCTCCAGGACAACATCAATAAAGTAACAATAACATACTGATAAAGGTTCTGCTCTGTGCTCATATTTTACAAGTAAACACATGTTTATTGTTGAAATATTTCTACATAACTCAGAGTCTGGTTTAATACATTATTACATAATTTTGCAGAGCCGGTAGAAAAATTTCAGTTAGCCTTTTACTGGCACTATGAGAGTGGGGGTCAATCTCTATACAGATTTGATGATATGCAGGCATTTTGTGAGACCTATGCAGCACTACATCTCTTTTACATCCTCATCAGTACAATAGTGCATGCAGATGGACATGCCATCAGTGAGAGGCAGTCACATTTAGAGCAGCAAAGAATAATTCCAATATTTCACAAGTTGGCTTACTTTAGGCATTTACTTCAAACTACAATGTACCTGCTTAAAGTTTTGCCATTGGAAGAATAAAGAATTATTATATTTTGTTGATTTACAAAATTTCCATCTCAGTTTTATTCTGGCAGTGTCAGCAGTTACTGATACAAAACATCATTTGTTCTCAAGTATGACAACAGGAACAATATGCAATTTTCCTCAGATTTTGGAAAACATCACATCTCCAAAAATAGGCTGGAATGTGCCTTGATATGCTAAGCATAACCAGGTCTTGGGCTTCAGCAGTGGAATATGTATGAATGACATGTTTAAAGAGCAGCAGGCAAAACAACTACAAGGAAGTTGTTGACAAAACTGTGCTGAGAGCCTGCAAGATAAAGCAAAACAATACAATGAACAATAAACATAAAAATTTTTGTAACATATAAGCAACCAATCAAATTGATATTAATTTTTTTTTCAAACCAAAAAAACTTGTTATTCATCAAATTGATGATTTTTAAGTTATGAATGTGCCTATCAAACCAACTGATAAAGCCAGTTTGGCAATCCATATGGCATCAAGTCTCCCAATCATAGCAGTTGCTGATCCAGTTAATAAAGCAATGATCCCTTTCTAACAAGAGTAAATGAGTTAAGTGATTCCTTCAATAAAGGTCTTATAGAGCATGATACAAGTAGCAACACTGCAGACAGCCACAACAGTCATGAACAGCCCAAGAGACAGCTAGAAATACGTACTTCTTGGAATTCAGACTTTTACAAGACCCACGAACAGGGGAATATGATAACTAGAAATCTGGAACAGCTAACTCTACCACAACCAAGTGTTCCACAACACTAAAGAAAGAGGACCACAGAAAGGCCTGCTTCTGTAACAAATTTATGCCAAAACCACTTTTCAATTGTGGGCAACCTGGCCACCAAAAGTCTTGAGATTCATGCAATCAATCTTGACGACAAACACTATCAGTAGCTCAACAACAGTTTTCTAACTCGTGTGCCATCTTCAACTACACAATCAGTCACATTCTGTGAACTGCTAGTCTTCCAATCTCGGTCAGAAATAGGGAGGCAATGCAGCAAGGCTTGTACAGTTATTTCTTTGTTGTTAGCAAAGGCATACTTAACAAACAAATCCTTCATGTCATGTATGAGGGGGGGAAATCCCACATATGACAGTTTCATGCAGTCACAATCACATCTTGGTGTTGTCGAAGCCATACCTCTTGTCAGAAGCAGCCTGGATAGTTTGAGCTATGAAGAAGATTGTTTTTTTGTCAAGGAGCCTAATTCAAGTAAAAAATCTGCTCTGATTTTTCACCTCTGTAGAAGACCTACCAACACAAATGCTGCCTTCATAATAATTAATGATTTAACTTTTACATTTGTAAGTGAAACGACAACATCATTTTGATGGTAGCCATCTCCACTTACCAAAAGGCACCTTATTCGCACAGTCTCAACGCAGTGAAATCGAAGAACTATTGAACTGGCTGAAGGTAGAGCTACCTACGGCCGCAAATTTGTGTACGGTTATTTTCATCAACTTCAAGTCACACTGTGTAGTAAGAAATGCACGTAAACGTCAAACAACGGCGGTTGATCGTGAAGTGATATCTACATATTTCCAGACGCAAAGAAGGTTACAGATATCTGTCAGGTATTAATGTTATTGCATTTATTAAAGTTAAGTGGTTTTGTGGAAGAATCGGGCTGAATAGCCTTGTACACCGTCACATTCAAAGGCTTCATAAATCAACAGAACATTCACATATTTTATTAAGTAGACCGAGCACCAAGGTTTTAATTAATAGCGACAGATACAAAACTGATTTCAATTGTAAATAGCTTTGAATACCAAAAGAGGTTACTTTGAAAAGCTTTTAAAGTTTAAAGCTTGAACTAAACAATACCGATAATTAAATGTCTTTTGTAAATAGAATTGCCGAATGAAACGGAACACGCAACGGACTCTCTGGACACATTTAAATCAGCTATAGTTGAACTTTAACTAAAAGAATTCTACTTACACCTCAAACTTTTCCATCAGAACAAAATCCATCACATTTCTCCTTGGATCACCTCTTTATCAGTCCAAATATTGTAAAACGATGTTCTGTTCGATCCCTGACTAAATTCACCTACGCTAGTTTAACAAATCGCTTCTGAAAAGCGGCAAATTAACTGAGCATGCGCATTCATTTTGCCGCTGTGTTCTGAGCATAGAGCTGAAATAAAGCTGTCACGCCATCTGCAAATTGTACTATGCCCGACCTTTCTGGGACTTTTCTCTATTTTTTCTTTAATTGAAAGAGAAATTTCGGAACAGGCAAGTCGGCAAGTTCAGCAACAGAACAACCAAACAAAGGTATGTACACATGCCAGGCGCCGTATTTGACGTTATTATAACGTTAACAGAGACGAAAATCCTCAAAGTGAAAACGAAGTGGACAATCCGAGTTTGAAGGTTGTCACACTCAGTGAGATTGCAAGCTTACTTACGGTAATAGAAATCAAACAGCTAACACTCGTGTTATTTATATAGTTCCGTGTTCAAAAACAAAACAGGAATAATGAAAAATATAGCAAAAGTAGCATAAGTTAAAATTCATACTAATCATGATGACGGTGTCAGAGCGACTGCGATCATGCTGAGGTCCAACGCGGCCAGCTCATCATGGCGATCTCCGGTCATCGCAATGAAACATGCCTCAGTGATTGCATCAGCTGCCCGTCGAGTGAAAAAAGAGAACTTGCTCTGATATCCTTTCCGATGCGTTGAGTGGAAGGCCACATCAGTCACTGCAGCCGGCTCTTTCATTCCGAGAAATCTTCATGCATGAAGATTTCTCGGAATTTGAATTCAGCTGTCGTTCATCCATAAAACACTCGCCTTGAGCAGTTTGTTTTGTAATTGTTATGTGGAAAAAAGTTGCGTGTTTTTATGAGCCACAATTCGGCCGGATTTCCCTGAACAATTCACCTCCACATTCTGTATTAGAGACCAATAAACTTCAGAGAAAAGTGTATGATTCGACCTGCCAAACTATTTAAGTTTGTAAACATATGCAGAATGTGAACTCTGATGGTTTTTGAACTTTGATGGTTTGACATTTTTGACAGCTTTAGTCTTGTACAGCCAATCAGATTATTGAACTATTATAACAAGGATTCTGATTGGCTTATTGTAGAGTGCTTTCTGAGCGTATAGAGCATGCTGACGACACTGTTGTTCGCTTTGAAATTAAAATTTGTTTTGAAAATTGAAAGTAACTCTTGGGGAAGTTAACGAATTCTTTATTAAAATACCAATAAAGAAGCCTTGACTGTGCTCTTTTCTGTTGTAAAGCACTTAGGAAGCGGCTAGTGCACTCGAGAAGTGGTGAGAAACACATGACTACGTCTCGTGTTTCTCCCTACACTTCTTTCGTGCCCTAACCGCTTCCTGCGTGCTTTACAACAGAACAGAGCACAGTCAAGGTTTCTCTATTTGTTAAATATTCTTTACCAGTGTGACTTCTTCTGGAAAAGAAAAATATTTAACTTGGTTTCTGCCATCTCCAATTGCAACTGTTTGTTCCCGCAAACAAAAAAATCTCTAATCTGCAAAATTCAACTCATTCATTTATTGTTTGATTAGCTTACTCATAACTAATCAAGAAGCGCTCCTTTAGTTCTCAAGCCTTGTATTTTTCAAGCGACTACTCACCTTCAGTATAACGGTACTGAAGAATTACCAACAATTACGCGCAACAGCCATTGAGTCGCCAGTTTCCGTTGTTGTCGTAGAAATTGTGATGCAGAACATTGACAAACACGCTCTTTCGACTTGTAAAGGATGTGGCTACACTTCGTTGACGATACATTTTCGTAGACCAAAACGGAACCATCTCGCGCAGTCCACGACCCTACAACATCCGCGTCGCTCACCGAACGATTAAAACACTACATCATTCACTAGGGACCTTTAGCAGTCAGGACGGTAACGCCAAGGAAGACGTCGATTGAAAAATGACTGTCTATTTTTGGTTAAAATTTCGAAAATGGCTGTATGTGTTTACCATCTCTAACGGCGCTACACCTCAACTTTCGCCTAATGTATATAAACATTGTTGAGTTCCAAATGGATATAAAAATAATTTGCCGTCGCGGTTTCCGTTAGCAGACAACACAATTTTGAGTGATTTCACGTTGTTGCTTTGCAGAAGACGGATAAGTAATGTACAAAGTTAGAAACACACATGCTAAACTATTGATTCACTCATTAGATCTTTTGTTTTGCCATCTCGTTTCCGTCGCCGTCGTGTTTGCTAAAGGTCTTTACTAACTAACGTCGAAAACAAGGAAGAATCGAACAACAGACAAGGAGAAGTTTACAAGATCAAGTGCTCCGAGTGCCATTCTTCCTACATCGGAGAGACTAGCAGGAAACTCAACACAAGACTGACTGAACACAGACGAGCGCGGCGGACGGTGCAACGGTGAAAATGAAAATGTATGAAGCGGCGTCACTCGCGCTGTTATCAATAGCTAATGTTTCTGCTAGAACTGGATTAGCTTCTTTTGCTCTTAAGAATTCGCCGCCTAGAATGGCTAAGACTCTTTTTTTACTTTGCAATGCTTCACTTTCGCTGTCCTTTCGCCGTCCTCTTGATCTCTTAAGAACAACACTCTCGTCCTTAGCTAGTGAATCTTCCATCTTAAGTCTTAGAAGTCCCAGTTCTTCTCACATGTCTTTAACAGTAGCACTTATATCGACGATATCTTTAACCACAGTTGTCTCCTTCAAAACTCCATCTTCTAAATATCTAGCCAGACGCTCACGACTAAATAATTTTCAGGGCAAAATAACAGTGCGGACACATTCACTTTCTCAGGGAAACCATTGAAAACTTTTAATGGTTTCCAATAGACCCTCTTTTTCCATATTTTGAAAATCTGTACATAAGCCTGGCACGACTTTTCCTTGGTGTGCTTGATTGTATGGAACCAACATAATGCCAATGCGAGCTCTTAGGTCGCTCACCTCTAAGTGAGTTTGTAAAAGCTCACGATACAATAAACACTGATAAAGGGGCTTTTTAAAATTTGTCGCTCCGTTCCACCATTTCATCGGATTTTGTAAATCATCCTTAGCAAACGTCTTCCATTCCACGACAACGACTTCGGGGTCACCTCTTGGACTTTGACGCAAAGCGACAGCATCTATCTTTCCTTTATAGCAATCAACTTTCGATCTTTTAACGGCATAACCACGGATTCTAACTTCCGCTTGCAGGAATTTGCAATTAAATTCCTCTTCCAACTTTGTCAGAAGCTGGCCTTCTACACTCTTTCTTGTTCTTTGTCCATTAATTTGTTTCACAAGTGCTTTGTGAAATTGTTTTCCCCACTCTTGTGCCTGTTTTAGAGACCGCGATGACGATTTTTTTGATGGATCTCCGTGATTTCGATCCACTGGAATCTTGATGTTTCTTATATCAAATGAACTCCGCACTGCATAAACCTTTTTCCTGGTTTGCGTCCTAAACTTTAAGCGAAAGTGAGAAATATATCAAATTGAAATAAGCCAGAGAAAAAAATTACTAATAAAATCTGAATTTCGATCAAGTCTTACATCGGGTCCCATAAAATTAGCTGCTGATGAAGGCATTTTCTTGTCGCACTCTGTGAATAATTTGCGTTTAGATTGACTTTCTGTCTGCTGCAGGTGTTTAAGAACTGAAACAAGTCGCTTTTCAATATCCTGAAGGGAACTTTTAGATACCATTGTACAGCTACGTACTTTGTATATATGTATTTTTGCATATTTTGTGACCCTATATAGAGTCGTGTTCATAAATGCGAGGAAAAATTATAGAAATGGGGATGTTAGGCGATGTTTGCATAGATGAAACAGAAACCTTGTTTACGTTTCCCACAATTAGTTTCAAGTTGGTTTTGAACATTTCCAGGTTCAGCGACTGTGGCGTTTATCCCGGCAATTCGATTGGTACCGGTGATCGTATAAGCGAACATGCATGAACATGCCTCGATCCAAATGGAGTGAACTAAAATTAAATCCAGTGTCATATAAAATAACGAATCATTCCCAACATCTATTGTCTATAACCTAAATTCAACATATTGATTATGGAAATGACCTTAACAACGTTGAAACTTAAGTGAAATTTCCAATGCAAGGTCTATCATGCCATTAATTCAGCACTGACCACCCAAACCTTTTTCTCATCCCTCTTTAACAAATAGAGAAGCCTTGATTGTGCTCTGTTCTGTTGTAAAGCACCCAGGAAGCGGCTTTAGCACAAAAGAAGTGTAAGGAGAAACATGAGACGTAGTCTTGAGTACTCTAGCCGCTTCTTGCGTGCTTTACAACAGAACAGAGTACAGTCAAGGCTTCTCTATTTGTTTTATAATAAAGAATCCGAAAGAATTCTTTACTCTCAGGTTTTGAAATGGACTCAAAGTTCATATGATTTCAAAGCGATCGATTTATTTTTTGACACTAACAGAGTTAATCACAGCTGTCCCTTATACTAGTAAAGTAATGACTCCAAGCCGATTGGGATGTCTTAGCCTTTGATGCTAAACTTTCACTTACACTTCGCGAAATGAATACTGAGTGAAAATCGTCGCCAAAGAAACGTATGAACCGTGGAAAGGTGTTCGACGTAACGAGCGCCGGGGACGCACATTCGCCTTTGGCTCATTCAACGGAAAAGACTCTAAGACAATTTCGACATGCGCATGTTAGTGAAGACTGAAAGAAGACAACATAAAAGTACATGTCCGAAAACGCTGAGGAATTAGGATCTTGCACATCGTCAATGTGGAAATTGAAGTCTTCTGTAATCAGCAGTTGTTCTTTGCAGAGTACTGGATATTCCAAATATTCAGAAAACTTCGTGATGAAAACACTACCAAGTACTTGATGATCTACGGAATACGGCGACCGGTATACGATGACGACATAAGTCATTCAGAAAACTCATTTTCTGGCTAGCATCGGCTTTTTTGAATCATGAATCACTATCTATAGGTGCAGTTCCACCACCACGACATCCAGTACGCGTATGATCCTCGATTTTACAACCATCAAGACAAGCCTCAACTTTAGTGGCTCTAGTTGTAAGCCAGGTTTCAGTAATAGCAACTACATCTGGTTTGTTATCACAAATGAGTTTAAAAAAATATCAGACGATTTGTTTCTGGTCGATCGAGCATTCATTGAACAAAACACCATTTGTTTCCTAAGACAATTAGCTGTTGAATTCTTATCAGGTTCTGGATTTAATTCCTTATCACCGTTTCTTAACAGATGAAAAGTGGCCGTGGAATTTCCAGAGCAAGTAATCCTTGATGATCCTTTCCTCTGATTCCGATGTATTCTTGCAGGCATAGGGGAGTTGTATCCACTACAATATGTGTAATTGGTATTCCAGTAGTAGGAGAAAAGGATGCAAATTTCGTTGGCTTTATCAAGTGGAAAGAACCGAAAATCATATCAAAAACTGCCATTTTCATGACCAAGGAGAGCGTTTCCATGGCCAGAACATTCTTAGTGGTTGGAGATGACGCTTACATGCATCCCAAGGTCAACCTGTTCAGGCTTCAGTCTCAATAAAAGGAGAAATAGCGAGGACACTACAGAGCTCCAAATACGTAGGATGCTAATTACAGATTGAACTAATTGGGGACGACGTTTATCAGCCGAATGTTTAGCCAAGATCCTCAGGTATTCATGATCTACGAATCTCTCTGGGTAACGAAAAAGTGGAGGAAAACCGAACCAGATGGAGACTGGTCGAGAGGAAGTTAGTCATCAGCAATAGGTAGTCATTATTGCGTTATACGTTAGCTCCTTCATTCGTGCAACTTCTTCTGGGAAAGAAAAATATTGAACTTGGTGTCTGAGGGAAATTTCTGTCCTCTCCAATTGTAAATGTTTGTTCCCGCAAACAAAAAAAAATCTCCAATCAGCAAAATTCAACTTATTCATTTATTGTTTGAGTAGCTTACTCGTAACTTATCAAGAAGCGCTCTTTTAGTTTTCAGGTCTTGAGTTTTTCAGGCGACTACTCACTTTCAATGTAACGGTACTGGTAAATTATCAAAAATTACACGGAACAGCTATTGGCTCGCCAGTTTCCGTTGTCGTCGCAGAAATTGCAATGCAGAACATCGACAAACGCGCTCTTTCGACTCGCCGAAAAGGATGTAACCATGGCTACGCCACTTTGACGATACATTTTGTACCACCGTACACTAAAACGGAACCATCTCGCGCATCTCTCAACCCTACAAGATCCGCATCGCTCACCGACCGATAAAAACACTACATCACCCACATACTAACGTCGAAAACAAGGAAGAATCAAACAACAGACAAGGAGCAGTTTACAAGATCAAGTGCTCCAAGTGCCACTCTTCGTACATCGGAGAAACTGGCAAGAAATTTAAGATAACACTGACTTAAAACAGACGAGTGCGGCGGGCGAGAAATGCCGATGTCAACACTCACACTGTTGAACGTAATCGACTCTTGATCCACACTACTGACTGGGTCTTTGCGCAATACTTAACCAGCAGTAGTAATGAATTTAATAGAACGAACTAAAGTTTTCGCGTGAGTCTTACAACAATATCACGGAAAAACTGACCAATCAGTTTACAAGACCCATGTAGGCTTTAACTTGTGTAAATGTCAGTTACCACTACTGAAAACAGTCCTTCTCAGGACTACCCTCAAACAGACGATCAGACTACACAATCAAATGTTATCCGCAGGCTTAAATAATTTATTTTAGAACAATTTTCATTTAACTTAGGTCTCCCAAATCGATTCATTTTGATTATTAAATGACTAATTCGTGATTTATCAATCAACCAATTAATGAAAAAACCGTAGATACTTCGCTATGAGTAAATGAGTTGACACTGACATTTTACGCCAATTAGGATTATGATAATGCAACGTAACAATTTATTTTGCTCGGTTCAGTGAATATGTATGAGCAGCGTAACCCGCGCTGTTAATCAAAAGCTGATGTTATTATTAGAATTGGATTATTTTTTTTTACTTTTGAGCATTCTCTTAACGCGGCTAAAGCGCCCTTTCTTCTTAGCATCACTTTTGTCTTCCTCTTCATCGCTTTTTCTATCGTCCTCAGCAAGTGAATCTTCTATCTTGAGTTTTAGAAGTCCCAGTTCTTCACACATGTCTCCAACAGTAGCACTGTCATCGATGATATCTTTAACCACAGTTGTCTCCTTTAAAACTCCATTTTCTAAGTATGTGTCACTCAGACGCTCGCGATTGAATAATTTACAGGGCAAAATAACAGTGTGAACACATTCACTTTCCTCGGAAAGCCATTGATAATCTTTGATGGTTTTCAATAGACCCTCTTCTTCCATATCCTGAAAATCTGTGCATAAGCCTGGCACGACTTCTCCTTGGCGTGCTTGATGGGATGGAACCAACATAATGCCAATGCGAACTGTTATGTCGTTCACCTCTAAGTGAGTTTGCAAAAGCTTACGATACAATAAACACTGATAAAGGGGGTTTTTAAAATGTGTCGCTCTGTCCCACCATTTCATCGGATCTTGTAAATCATCATTAGCAAACGTCTTCCATTCCACGACAACGACTTCGGAGTCACCTCTTGGACTTTGACGCAAAGCGACAGCATCTATCTTTCCTTTATAGCAATCAACTCTCGATTTGTTAACAGCATAAGCACAGATTCCAACCTCCGCTTGGACAAATTTGCAATTAAATTTCTTTTCAATCTTTGTCAAAAGCTGACCTTCTACACTCTTTCTTGTTCTTTGTTCATTAATTTGTTTCGCAAGTGTTAGGTGGAACTGTTGTCCCCACTCTTGCGATGACGATTTTTTTGAGGGACCTTCTCCGTGATTTCCATCCTTTGAAATCGTTATTTTTTTTCTATCAAATGACTTCTTCACTGCACAAACCTTTTCATCGGTTTCCGTCCTAAACTTAAAGCGAAAATGAGAAATATATCAAATTGAAATAAGCCAGAGAAAAAATAACTAATTAAATCTGAATTTCGATCGAGTCTTACATCGGGTCCCATCAAATGAGCTACTAATGAAGGGCTTCTGGTATCGCTCTTTGTGAATTTTTCCTCTTTCGATTGTAGGTCACAGTGTTTAAGAACTTCGACAATTCGCTTTTCAAAATCTTTAAGGGAACTTTTAGATGCCATTGTACAGCCACGTCCTTCGCTATGTATGTGTTTTTGCTTGTTTTGCGACCCTATATAGTGTCATGTTCATAATTAATGGGAAAAGTTATTTAAATGAGGAGGTTAGGCGATGTGTTTAGACATGAAGCAGTAATCTTGTTTATGTTTTGCCATATGTAGTTATTAGTTTCTATGGTTTTGAATATTTTTATTGCTACCCGTGATCGTAGAAGCGAACATGCTTGAGCATGCCTTGATCTTTGGCCTTACCTTGGTTAAAGCTCTGCGATGCAAGAAACATACGTCAGTTAAATCGAGTGACCTAAAATTAAACCCAGTTTTATGCAAAATAAACGGGAATATAAAAAAGTTAACGAATCGTCCTCAATTTCGACTTATTGATTATAGAAATATAATAATTAACAATTGGTTCAGTGCTCTCCAAACTTCCCGCGTGCTTCATATCTCGATGAACACACAGCTGACGTATGAATCAATTGTTTTATAACATTTTCAACCCGACGAAAAATTTTTTTTTCGCGAGGGATTTGTTTACTGACGTCATGAGCGTGCACAATAGGAATATGAAGCACGCTCGCGCAATTGAATTTGATTAGACAAATTTACTAGCTATGCTATAATTATAATTGACAGCCGGGAAAAATATGAGCCTTGACAAAAAGCCTACAAATTCACGCTAAAAGCTGAAAAATTATTTTGAACCCTGAACTGTGCTAGTATAGACGGCTATACAAACAAGGAAATGAAGGTCGACAAAAGAAGAAAATAGCGAACAACAAGCACTTAAGTTTAATAAACTTATACTTATGCACTGCTCAAACCCGTCGTTTGACAGGCGGTTGTGTAAATTTATCCCATTCTAAAAACAAAACCTCCTAACTAACCTCGAACTAAGGCCTTTCGTTTTACAGCTCAACTCGGAGTCTGTTTTTCTTTGAGTTATTACAAGATCCTTCAAGTACTCAGCAATGATGTCGTTCATGTTTAGAAAAGTGACTACGCGATAAATACGAATTTCCCGTTTCCTCCTTTCCAGAGAAGTGTAACATGGGAGGGGATGGAGGGGGGCAGGGGCAAAAATAATTTGCATAGAAGGAAGGGGATCTGGGGAGGGGGTGTTAGGGGCAAACAAATTACCGTGCGAATGGACCCCTCCCCCTCCTTCTTGGGTAGTTCTGTCAACGATTTGCAATATTTTGGCCGAAAAACAAAAATTGAATGATTGTAATTTTCAACTTTCAATTTTTAGACTACCGCCGAAAACAGAAAAACTAAGCCATGCCACAGACTGCAACATTGTCAGAGAAGAAAAATTGCCGCTCAGTTTCCTTTTTCTCTTCATTGTTGACAGGATTAAAGTAAAGTAAAGTCAGAAATTTTCGATTTGGCATTTTCGGATTTTTTATGATAAAAAACAACTAAGATCAAAAATTGACATCAATTTTTAATTTCTGATTTTAAACGAAAATTGAATGGAAGAATGACACACGGACCATTATTCTCCATTAAGACTGTTTACTCACAACTCAGTCAGAATATTTACTGATGGATATAGAACGAAAACAAATCGTGCCTTATGTAAATAAGTGAATATCAACTCCGAAGAACTTGTATAGCTTAAGTAAAATAAGAGTTCATTGGTAAAATTATCAAAATAAAAGCAACAATTTAGAATTAAATCTTTCAAATACTTGTGAACGACAAATAGTCTACATGTCAACATTTACGAAGAGAATAAAAGAAAAGGAATATATTACAGAATGTAAGTCTTAAATTCAATGGACATGGCGCTTTCTGTTGTTTGGATGTCAATGTCAGTGTTCTTAATGTCGCACGTAACTCTCTTAATAGTCCTTGAGCCTCTCAGACACAATAGAGCGGATCTTAATAAAACGAAAGACATTTCCGCTCTAATCCATGAGATGGTCTTCGCACAACTCTCTCCTTTCCTTGTTGACATCAGCTCAGCTAGTCGGCTATGGTATCTGTTGCAATTTTTTCCCATACCTTAGGTTGTGGTGAAGACCAGTGGTGCAAACTTCAATAACTCTGTCCCCACATAGACGCTTCTTCTCGTTTTCGTGCAATTCGTAGCTCTGTCGAGGTTCAAGATCTTGATACGAGTTTGCATTTGGGTGACATACCCTTATGTCAAAAAAGGCAGATCGTTGTCTTTCCCAAAATCCACGTGCATTATTATAGAAAATGACCTTAACAATGTTACATTGATTATAGAAATGACCTTAACAACTTTGAGACTAAAGTGAAATTTTCAATGCGAAGTTTACACATTACATGAATTCAGCACCACCCAAACCTTTCTCTCATCCCTTTAAAATGTTCAAGAGACAGAGAGGGAAGGAGAGGGAGAGAGGGAGAGTGAGGGAGGGGGTGTAAAGAGGTTAGTCGGGTGGAAGAGGGTAACGCCAGACTAGGAAGTTGAAGTAAAACAAGGATCTAAAATGGTCATAATTTCTTGAAGTATCTAAATTTCGAACGGGCATTCAGACTGTAGTTATTAAGTTACAATGTGCAAATACGATCGTTAAGTGCACAGCACTCGAAAGCGACCTTTTCGCTATGTTCACATTATTTTCATTATTTGAGTACTCCAGTCTCTTTTAAGTTTCTTTCACAAGGATAACCTATGTTTGTATGCATTGCAAAGTGATAGTGAAAACCAAAAACCTTCAGCCGGAAGTAATTCGGAAAATTTTTTTTTAAGAAGACGCTTTTCTGTTCTGTCTCAAGGCAGTTCTTCATTCTCAGGTTTTGAAATGGATTCAAAGCTCATATGATTTCAAAGTGATCGATTTACTTTTTGTGACTGACAAAGTTAATATAATGATAGCCGTCCCCTTTACCAGTAAAGAAATGATTTTATGCCTCATGGAATTTCTTAACCTTTGATGCTAAGCTTCCACTTACACTACGCGGAATGAATAAGTGAAAATCGTCGCCTTTGCGTTTTGATAAGGACGGGAAACATCTCCGGACGGAATCTGTCGCAGACGATGACAATACTTCTCCGAGATTTTTTTATGCGAACTTTAGGCTCAGCAGTTCACCAATGGTATTTGGAAGACGTTTCATTTTAGTAAGGCCCAAGTAAGAAATAGCTATTTAACATAGTAAAGAGAAGAAACATGTATAAAATTATCTGTAATCATGACTCTGTCTTGAATTGACACTTTATGTTCACCATCCTGCTTTCCTAGAAATCTTTCAGTGCGGCTATATTGTACAAATTTTTTTTTATGACAGAGCTCTACTTAAAACAGTAAACAGCATCTCTTACTGCGCAAACAATTTTTATCTAACATACATGTAAGTTCAGTCCTATTTACAACTTCGTCAGATGTTAATGCCCATAGGGGTGTAAAACCAGAAAAACAACAATCGGAGTTGAATCAACTTTTTGCCCAGCTTAAGGGTAGCTCTAGTCAAAGTGGATTTGTTGGTCTACTCAGAGAGGGTATAGGAAGGTGTGCAGGACACACTGCCCCAAATTACTTCTTAGTGTAGCTGCACCAGGTGTTTAGGCTGTATTTTAGAAAATAACCTCAAACTCCTCTTATTAGGCAATTGCTATGATATTTGAATCTTCCACTGAATATTCTATCTCCAACCGCTTCAGACGATTTGTGGTCCTGAGAGGGAATGACCATTTAGTAGGATCGGAGACTACGGGGTACCTAGTTACTTATGGTATCAATCACCGTTCTTGATCTTTGACCTTTCCACTCCATATCACGATGAAAATTCTCCTAACTGCTCGCTGTACATTTCTTAAAAATTATATTCTGAGAATTTGGTGTTGGATGAAATAATACTCCCCTAATTAATAAGCCATTTAATCTCTCCACTTGTGCTTTCTTCTCTCTTTTCTTTTCTTTTCTTTTTTGTTCTTTTTTTGTTTTTTTTTGTTTGGGGGGGGTGGGGGGAGTGGGGGACTCCCTTAATTTATTAAGAAAGTGAAACCATTCTTGTCCCCTACGGTCTACAGCTGATAAATGTTCGTATGCAAGATTTCGCCATTAGCGCAAATATAAGTACGACCCTCGCTCTCGATTGATGAGAGGTTATTTTAAAAACATTGAGACAAACGGATATTTATGGTCAGCAGAATAATTATGTTCATTAAGATGATCAGAGAAACGTATGGACCTTGGAAAGGTGTTCGGCATAACGTTCGCCTTTGTCTCATGATCATTTAACGGCAAACACTCTTGAAACAACTACGAAATGCAAGTGTGTTCTGGTGGTCTGGCCTTTTCCTCTAGAATAGTCTTCCCCAAGGAAAGCACTGCTCTCCAGCTGGCCTACGGTAGTCGGAACAGCTCACTCCCTCTATGGACTCTTCATTAAGAACTTACAGCACTGCTTGTTAAAGAGTTATAACTAAACATTCATTGAAATGGTAACTGTAAGTTAGAGTATCTACGCGGGCAAGATAGTTTAGTATTATTAATTGGATTGATAACGTAAATTGGCAACCGTAAAGAGTTAAGAAGCTGACGTTTCGAGCGTTAGCCCTTCGTCAGAGCAGTAGGCAAGACACGACCATATTTTGTCATCCTCTTGAGCGAAGCATTCGTTCAGGTAGTCATTATTGCGTTATGCGTTACATTCTTCACGTGTCTGACTTATTCTGGAAAAGAAAAATATTGAACTTGGCGTCTAATTGCAATTGTTAGTTCCCGCAAACGAAAAAGTCTGCAAATTCAACTTATTCATTTATCGTTTGAGTAGCTTACTCGTAACTAATAAAGAAGCGCACTTTTAGTTTTCAAGTCTTATATTTTTCAAGCTACTACTCACTTTCAGTATAACGGTACTGAAAAATTACAAACAATTACCAGTACACGGAAAAGCTAACATTATCGCGTGAGTCTTACAACAACATCGCGGAAAAACTGACCAATCAGTTTACAAGACCCATGCAGGCTTTAAACTTGTCTAAGTGTCTGTCACCACTACCGACAACAGTCCTTCTCAGGACTACCCTCAAACAGACGATCTGACTATACTACACGATCAAATGTCACCCTCACGTTTAAATCATTTACTTTAAAATAATTTTCATTCAACTTAGGTCTCCCAAATCGATTCGTTTTGATTATTAAATGATTAATTCGTTATTTATCAATCAATCAATCAATTAATGAGAAAACCGTAGATACCTCATAAATGAGTAAATGATTAAACACTGACATTTTACGCTAATTAAAATTATGATATGCAACGTAACTATTTATTTTGCTCGGTTCAAATGAAAATATATCAAGCAGCGTAACCAGCACTGTTAATCAAAAGCTAATGTCATTATTAGAATTGGATTATTTTTTTCCCTTTTTAAATTCCCTTAAAACGGCTAGAGCGCCCTTTTTTCTTAGCATCACTTTAGCTCTCATTTTCTTCTCATGGGAACAAACCCTCGTCCTCAGCTAGTGAATCTTTTATCTCGAGCCTTAGAAGTCCCAGTTCTTCACACATGTCTCCAACAGTAGCACTGTCATCTACGATATCTTTAACCACAACTGTCTCCTTCAAAATTCCATCTTCTAAATATGTGTCACTCAGGCGCTCTCCGTTGAATAATTTATTGGGCAAAATAACAGTGTGAACACATTTACTTTCCTCGGAAAACCATTGATAACTTTTAATGGTATCTAATAGACCCTCTTCTTCCATATGTTGAAAATTTGTGCATAAGCCTGGCATAACTTGTCCTGGGCGTGCTTGACGGAGTGGGACCAACATGATGCCAACGCTAGCATTTATGTCGTTCACCTTTAAGTGAGTTTGCAAAAGCTCACGATACAATAAACACTGGTAAAGAGGATTTTTAAAATATGTCGCTTCGTCCCACCATTTCGTTGGTGAATCAAATTTAGCAAACGTCTTCCAATCCACGATAACGACTTCGGGGTCACCTCCCGGAATTTGACGCAAAGCGACAGCATCTATCCTTCCGTTATATAAATCTACTTTCGATTTTTTAACAGCATAACCACAGATTCCAACTTCCGCTTGGACAAATTTGCAATGAAATTCCTCTTCCATCTTTGTCAAAAGCTGACCCTCTACACTCTCTATTGTTCTTTTTACATTAATTTGTTTCGCAAGTGCTAGGTGAAATTGTTGTCCCCGCTCTTGCGGCTGTTTTAAAGACCACCGTAACGATTGTTTTGAGGGATCTTCTCCGTGATTTCCATCCATCGAAATCGTGATGTTTTTTCTATCAAATGACTTCGTCACTGCGCAAACCTTTTCCGCGGTTTCCGTCCTAAACTTGGAGCGAAAATGGGAAATATATCAAATTGAAATAAACCAGAGAGAAAAATAACGAACTAAATCTGAATTTCGTCCAAGTCTTACATCGGGTCCCATCAAATGAGCTACTGATGAAGGGTTTCTAGCGTCGCACCCTGTAAAAAATTTCGACTGTAGGTCACACTTTTTAAGAACTTCGTCAAGTCGCTTTTCAAAATCTTCAAGAGAACTTTTAGACGCCATTGTACAACTACTTCCTCCGCTATATATGTTTTACTTATTTTGCGACCCTATATAGTGTCATTTCCATAAATAGAGGGGAAAGTGATATAAATGAGGAGACTTGGCGATGTGTTCAGACATGAAGCAGTAACCTTGTTTATGTTTTCCCAAATTTTGTTATTAGTTTCCTATGGTTCTGAATATTTTGATTGCTAAGGGCGATCGTATAAACGAACATGATTGAGCATGCCTCGATCTTTGACCTTACCTTGGTTAAAGCTCTACGATACAAGAAACATACGTCAATTAAATTGAGTGACTAATTTTCATTATTTGAGGGCTTTAGTCTTTAAAGCCTCTTTCACAAGGATAACCTGTGTTTGTAGGCATTGCAAAGTGATAATGAAAACCAATAACCTTCAGCAGGAAGTAATTCGGATAATTTTTTCAAGACGCTTTCCTGTTCTGTCTCAAGACAGTTCTTCATTCTCAGGTTTTGAATGGATTCAAAGTTCGTATGATTTCATAGCAATCGATTTATTAATGACATCTGCCCCTTATTCTAGTAAAGTACACCTTTTGCTAAGCATCAACGCAAGGTATTCATTCATTTGTGCCGAGTGTTAGTTCAATAAAATCACTGTACATTCACTAACGGAGTTAAACGATTGCATTAGAGGCTTATTTCATTTAGAACTAAATGTTATTACATTTAGGACTTTATTACATTTAGGACAGTTATTACGTTTAGGCTCTCAACACACCTGCCCACCATAACCCCGCTGATCCCGGGCAAAAAACAGAACTCAAGAAACTGCCACTAAATAGTCTTTTCCTCAACGTTGTAGAACAAGGTATCAATGCGCTCAAGGCAGCCATTAAGACAGATATTAGCCGCCCAGAAGTGCAACAACAAATGAACAATCGTGAAGAAGCCAAGCGACAAGGATAGCACTGATGCAAATCGGACTCAGCTGTTGCTACAAGCGTTACAGCGAAATGTCGGCTCAATAACCCCAACTAAATGCGGGCAGTGGTTCCGTTTTATGCAGACATACCTGCCCTGTTGTCTAAATAGAGAGTAAATTGAAGGATAAATAAGTCAATACATTTTTATTTCTTAACAGTGTGCGAACACGCAGTCTTTCTCCAAGTTGTAATCGCTCTTTGTTGGTTGTTAATGTTGTTTCGCACCGTGCTATTATTTGTCCATAAATGCTATGGTTTGTCAGTTCGTGCTATTAACGTTACATTCCGTGTGTACGAATGTCCAAAGGTGCTATAGATTGCACCTTGATGCTATTGAATGTTCATGCATATATTAATCGCACTATTTAAAGTTTACTCCGCCTTAATGAAGTTTAGTATGGCGTTAATGAATGTACAATGATTTTATTGAACCAACGCTCGACACAAATGAATGAATACTTTGCGTTAATGTCTAGCAAAAGGTGTAATGACTCTAAGCCGCTTGAGATGTCTTTAGCATTTGATGCTAAGCTACGCGGAATGAACAAGTAAAAATTATCACCTTTGCAGTTTTACAAGGACGGGAAACTCTCTCGAAGATGATGACAATTCTTCTCCGAGATTTTTGCGCGCGAACTCGACTCTAATGCGCACCCTTAAGGGTGCATTTAAGCGTTTCAATACCGAGGATTGGGAAAATACTTCATCCCTCCTCCCGCGTGGATGGAAAACTTCAGTAGTGTTTTAAGTGTTAAAATGCTTTTTTCAAATTTGTTGGACGTGATGTGAGCGAACTTAAGCGAAGTTCAAAAATACACAGATAGCTTGTTACAGAATCCCCATGGCAATAGGTGTGGATTTCCTAGTTTACGCTTTAAAATGTCCGTAAATAAGGTTGGATAGTTCATTATTCTGAAAAAAAAATTTTATGTAATTAGTCTACGAGTGGGAAATGAAAAAAACGCAAGTCTGTCCATCAAATAGTCAAAGGGCGGCATGTCGAAGCAACGATTTTTTCAAGTTTCCTTTTTCTTCTCTTTCAAGTTTCCTTTTTCTCTCTCTCTCTTTAACAGGATATTTTGGATGCACTAAATAACTGACACACGACAGTCTCAAACAATATTTCCGAAAGATATATTAAGACTATATGATGAGATATCCTTCTTATTATTGTAACATTACTTTGTGCAAATAAATGATATGTTTCTAGAGCGAAAACATAAGTTCTATAAATTCGAAGACCCTATTTCTCCTTTTGAACTGGAGTAATCCTTCTAAAAAGTAAACAAAAGAACAGAAATGTTTCCTTAAACAAGAGACAATCCTCTCTTGAATAACTTTCGTGTACCACGCCAGGTATAGAGTCTGTCCTTCAAAGTTAACAATTCGAAATAGTGACAGAAAACATTTGCGATATTTTTCTAATATTGCCAATGTGAATCTCTGCGAAGCAGGCTGGGTCATATTTAAATGAAAGACAAATTTTGACCATCTTCTAAGAGCATGTCTGGCATAAACTGAGCTTGTAGAAAAGCTAATTCAACTTCTTACATAAAAAAAGAGATAAAAAAATAGAAAAAAAAACTAGTGTTCATCACAAAAAACTGTTTTCCTCTTAAAAAGTTGAAGTTCAACCTCAGCAATGTTCGTAATTTAATCACAGTCAAAAATATCTTCACCTGCTAAGATAGTAATATAGTGCGATCATTGCGCGCGGTGAATGCATGTTTTTTGAAAAAGGAGCAATTCTGGATAAAACTACTGAGGACAGGGCCACTTATTTCTATCTCATTAAATCACCACACATCCTTTTGTGTTCTGCCTAGTTCTTCAGAGCATGCCCATGGAGTGGACCTCAGTGGCCCTGTATTCTGTAGTTGCTCCAAATTCTGGTATTTCATCAATATCTATATAATAACGAAGCCTCATTTTGTAACTTCTTACTTATTTCAAAGCAATAAGAGTGAAAATGATATCACTACTGGGTAGCACCACTGTAAACAAGAGAATATTACCACTTCCGGAACGACTTTCTACACGCGCGTCCTCTGTGGTTCCGCCAATGCCTTCAAATATAGCCCCTGTTTATTCTCGGACTCTTTTAGCTTAATGTTTCTGTTCATATCTATGCTATTCAGGCTGTAGAACTATGAGAGGCAGCTGTCTTCGAAAACTTCAGATAATAGCCCGAAAAATTCAAGAAATAACTCTTAAAGAAATATGTTATGCTTTAAAATTTCCATATTTTTCTTTCATTATGACTAAGAAAATAGCTGTAAATTGTTCATAACTGCAACCTATATTCTTTTGGAAACCGGCCAAAGCCAGAGGAGGACCAGCAAGGGTGCTATTATTTGTTTTCGTTGGAGGACGCCAAACGGTTTCTCCAGTGGCGGAGATAATCCAAAGCATTGATCCACCTAGGGAAAGGGAACAATAACAGGAATAAAATTAAGGAAGAAAATGGTCTTTCGCTTTCGAAATATCCTCGTAATTTCTAATACATGGCGACGCACAAGTGACACCTACAAATGCCATGGTCGAGTCGCGGCAAACCAATTCTAGCACAAAAAAATTAACAGACTCAAGGCAGAAGTTTTAACGTCTGTCAAAAGTTAAGTACAACGTTAAGTCCCCAACAAAGATTTGACATCCACTCAGTTGCGATTCCGCAATCGCATGATCTGATGATTAAGTAGCGCGGAGTTAGTAAGCAAGCTAAGCCACAGGTTTACCAGATTTACTTGTGACAATCGCCCTGTGTGCAGCTACGATCCGCAGTACCAAGAGCCTCCCGTGTTTCATCCATTGAAGAAAGAGAAGCGTCGAATATTCGAGCATTCGCGCCTCCGATTTCGCGCTCGGATGACCAATCAACCGAGTAACATGAAACCTAAAGTTGATTATCTGAGGAAAATGGTGAACGAGCTACACCCTCAAACATAATGTACAGGAAAAAATTCTGATTGATCGGCTGAAAACGAATGTATTTTCATGTAACACGAGAGCAAAGTTGTAACACGTTTGCAAAGTTGTAACAGGAGTAAAAATTACAAAGCGCGCGCTCGCTTTCTTGCAATTTTGTTGTCTTTAAAAAATCTAGTCGTGCTTATGAACACCAAATTGCACTCGAAATCATGTTATTACCTATACTGATTTGTTGGTACACCTCATTGAAACACCACTTGCACTGTTCTCTGTTCATTGTTAATTGTCATTTTGTACGCGGCATTTCGGAGACCAAAATTGAGAGCAGCAGCAAAAGCACTAAGTATCCCAACAAATGAATTTGGGCGTGTAAGCCAACGCTTAGTTGATCGTGTATTTGACAAGCATCACACAGATGGACTGTTCGGAATCAAGCGAAAAAAATTTCCTGAAAACCGTGGCCCAAAACACCACAATGCCAATCGAAAGGTTCGACTCGTATTGGGGGCATCGTACTTCTTATTTGTCTGAGTATACCTATGTCATTCCCTGACAACATCTTTCTTAGAATATCAAATAAATAGGTAAACAAATAAATAATTAGAACAAAAAGATACAAAATAGAATAAAATTCAGAATAAGGCGTTCCGTACCTGAGCTTTTCCTGTTCATCGTGTGCCATAAGCTCGTATGTTCTTGTGGGAGTCACCACATTGAAGCAAGCATTGTTGATGTCCTGCTGTGAGGGAGGCTGGTCTTGGACGGCAATAATTACATCAAGATCTATAAAGCTACACAAAAAACGAAACAAATTTACATTTGTGCCACAATTGGCAATACGTCGCAATTTGATTGGCCGATTTTCCGTCGTCGATAAGAGAACAGATATCGCTGCTCGCAGCAACGTGTCACGCAATGCTTTTGATCAGCTCTCAAACCTGAATGATTCGGAAATTTATCCAAAGTTAACGTCGATATTTTGGCAAAAAACAAATCGAAAGTGGTTTAGCGTGGTCTGTACTTTTGTCGACAACGACATTTGTCATCACAAGTCCACAACATTTTTTTCACTGCGATGACGAATATCTTTATCTATAAGGGTACAGACCATGCTAAACCGATTTGTTAAATTATCAGAGGAATCCTAAAGACCAGACTGATTGTCGAATCAAAACTTCAGCAGTCTGCGGTTCCAGGCATTCAGTTAGAAAAATGGAGTTAATAGTAGTAGCGGAGCGAAGCTCCCTGGTTTTTTTCGCTCAACCAATACTATCGCACTTCGTTTCACTGACTGAATGTTTGGAACAAGTTATAGCTTCTGTAGTAAATAGTGCCAACTTTGGGGAAGGTAAAATGATCGTCCAAGAGTGGGTAGCCCCAAAAAGGACTGCTTTCGTTGACGATTACTTAAGTTTAGAGAACCTGGTAAGGGGTCATAGTTAGAGTCCACTAAGCACTTCCAATAGAACTAGCCGTTTTCAGTCGAATAGCG